CTTAAAACATACCAGTTACTAATGCTTTCATGCCTTTTTTAGTTCCTGGTACAGTAAATGTTTGCGTTCGATTATATGAAAAACCGACTACAAAAAAAAAAAGAAAAGAAAAGAAACAATGACATTAATTTTTATCAAAGAATCTAACAATAAAAACAGAGGACTCTATTAATTCAATTAATATATCTTGAATATGTCAAAAAACATTCTTTTATTATTATTTGTTTTGTTAATCTTATTTGAATATTTAACTATAATATTTAACATCTGTCTTATCTCATTTCTGTTATGAGTCAAATCATGTTCGAAGAAATTAAATCATAATTGGTGAAAATTTTCTTTTTTCTTAATCAATACCAAATAAAGCCCTCTACGTGACGTATAAACATACTCATACATATATATATATATATTCTCTTTTTCTAACGCGTACACACACACGTAAAACCGATTATAGGCATTCTATATGTATCATGATCGCCTGCAGACAGTGTGCCACTTAGCGATTGCTCTTGGACCTTTCAACACATAAATGAGAAAGAGCTTTGTTTCATTACATCATCAGTAAAAATTTATCATCTGTAAAGTTGAGAATATTGGTCAAGTGAACATAACCGTATAAACATGTATAAATATGAATAACATATATAATTAAGTTATGGATCTACTATATTGAGCTTATAGAAAAATAAAAATAAAACACGATTGCTGTATGATATAAAGTTGATATAATCTTTTATTGTTTATATTTTTCTTTCTTTTCCATTTGTGCTTTACTCATTAATAATGATCAGATGAAGTAAGAAGACAAGGTCATTCATTATATGAACACCTACCCATTTCTTTTCGTAATGATGAAATTTGTTCATAATGATGAGGATGATGAACTATCAACATTCTCGATCGTTTGAGTTTGTGTATGTCGTCTTCTTATCGATTCGTTGTTAATAGGAGTTACACACAAGGCAAAACTGTGTGTGTGTGTTTTGCTTCCTCTCTCTCTCTCTTCCTTTTTTTTCTTTGTCTTTCTCGGGTTTTTTTTTTGGCTGCTCATTTCTTTTTTTTTCGTTCTTTCCATCTGTTATAGTTACTGAGAATGTTTTCTACAACGTTAGTAGTCATATATTTTTGAGCTATCGCATTCAAATTTCTCACATATGACATATTCCTTTATTCCATTGTATGACAAGGTCAACGAGCTGGCTACACACATTTTTTTTTTCATTTCTTTTTTCCGATCTTCTTTATCATTTGTTCGTTTCAGTCTAACTATTATTTTTTATTCTTTCCTTCTTTTTCTTTTTTTTTCTTATATATTCAGAATTCCGGAAACATACGAATGAATAAAGGAAGAGAAAGAAATCCTCATCAGCTGTCGATTAAATATTCAGCGCTCACGATGATCGACAGAATAATAAAAATCGAAGAAGGTCTACGTATCATATACACAGCTGGAAATAAAAGAATTGGTTAGAGAATAAAGGGCGTGTCCACCTGCTGATTACTCAATCGATATTGCTCTTTCTCTATCTGATTTCTTTTTTTCTTCTCTCTTCAAACCGTGTAATCGATATCATGATCATCATCATCGTAAGACAGTAACAGAAGTTTCGTCGTCACCTTTCAAGCGAAACAAATTATTGTTATCGTGAATAGCTATTTGCTTGTTTCTTGCGTCACTGCTATTCACTCATCCTTCATTACACAACGAAATCGATCACCCAAGCAAATCTTATTCATCCTCTTACTGTGTGTTCAATCGACACACATCATAAGTATAGCCACACTTACTAAACTGATGAGAATATTCTATTTAATTAAAAAATCAAAAAAAAAAAGAACACAAAAGAATATTTACTTGGTCGATGAAAATGTGGTGACTTCGTATATGAACCTATATGATCACCAGCTCTTTTCATATAACCCATATTTTCTTCACCATTTATGTAGCCTGACGTTAAGATTCGATTAAGATCACTTGTACCTATTTGACTCGGTGATGTTACACTCATTGAAGTCACATGACAACTCTAATAAGAAAAAAACAAAACTTACATGTCATAATAATTTACATTCAATATTTAAATAGGTATATATCTATATGTATATCTCATTGACACATCATGTGAATTGTTAGTCACGAATAGTAGTTTAGCAAATTAGTTTAGCTTTCTGACATTTCTGAATCAAACTAAATCACCTTTCGTTTTCCATATGAAGAATGAAAAGAAAATGAAGAAGATGTTTTTGTCTGAAAGAAACAAATGTTTTTTTTTTGACGTCATTTTTTTGCGTCTAAAATACAAATGAAAAATTTCATTTACTTTATGTTGTGGTAAACTAGATAAAGTAATGTCTGTTAAATCACGGGGACTTGGTTCGCTCGAATCACATATATGTAATGATTTATCTGATGGATTATGATTAGTATCAACATGAATTTTCGATGTTTGATCAACATTTGGATGTAATGTTGAAAGATTTTTATCGTATGTAGTGGGTGATGATGTTCGAGGCGAAGATGAAGTTTTCTTTTGTGAAATCGATGATTGCAATACAGCAGATGATGAACAATCAAAACCACCTGATTCATTATCATGATGATAATGCTGCTGTTGTTGATGGTGATGTTTGTCAGTTCGAGTTAATAAATTTTCTTTATTTTCATTAATAATTGGAGTTATCTGTTGTTGCTGTTGTGTTTGTTGTTGCTGCTGTTGTTGTGGATTATCGGATTTTTTTACTTTTCTAATAAACAAAAGAATTAAAAGTGTTTTTTTTTTAATGAGAATAAATTTTCCTTTTTTTTTCTATTTTAAAGAACTTACTTCTTTTTTAGAAATGAAAACATGACGAAAATAAATACAACACTCTAAAAAAGCAAAACAAAAAAAACTAAATCAATGATGATTCATGTCTGCTTAGAAGAAATAAACTTGTCTAATCTAAACAATCAATCTTCGTTATTATTATTATTATTGTCTGGTATCACTTATTCCCTCTTCATTTTATGTTCGGTACTTTTCTTTTTCTCTTGATCTATACATACATTTCATCGATATGGGTTTCAAGACAATGAGCAATAAAGACAGAGAAAGAAAAGAAGGCTATTAATGGATATGAAAAGAAAAATCGACCCAATAGATGTATGAAGCACCTACCAACTAGTTTTTTTTTTGTATTATTACTGTCGCCGATTTTTCTCGTACGAAGTAATCGAAGAAAAAAAGAAGCAGAAGCGTAGGTGTCTTCTTCTTGTTCTTTTTTTTTCGAGGGACGAAGCAATGCAATATAATAAGAATAATGATGATAAATAAGGATGATCGACGCGGTGATAGTTATCTCGAAGCGTCGTATACAAGTATGCTTCAGTTAGACGACGACAATGATGAAACAGTAATAAGAGCACCAACAATATGACAAGTGATGACGAATGAAACGGCAATAGTATTAGTAGTGAAAAGGCCAGCGTATATTACCAATACTTCGATCTGCGTGTATACTGCTGCCAGCACAGGCGGCAGTAGTGGCAGCATCTGATACCAACGTCACAAAACAGAACAGAAGCATTAAAGAGACGTATATCTGGCAGATATTTTCTTTCTCTCTCTCCTCTTAGCTTCAACCGGCGTCTATCGATAAACAGAGAACGATGTGCTTTCTCTTCTTCTCGTTCTTGTTCCTCTTTTCTTGGTTGGACGATTGCGCCTGTAGCATAAAGAGATCCCATTTGTGTTAGTATGTGCTACACGCATATATACTATGCCGATAGGTCATAGACATACGTACATATGCACACACACACACATACATAGTCTGTTCTTCGTTTCTCTTGTTTCAGGTCCTGACATCTTCTGCTTCTTCTGCAAACAGGAGGGGAGGGGGAGAAGGAAATAATGAAGTGACACACATGCACATATACATTATGACAAAGAATGAGAGCATTTCTTGGATTTCCTTTGGTGTCACCGTCATCAATTAGAATACTGTTAATATAAATATAAATATATACATATGTATCGAATTCATTCGTACATTTGCACGCTTCACGCTTTCGTATATATATAAATATATATATATATATATATAGATGCACTCGGTTTAAAAAAACTCGTACGCAATATTCGAGAGAGAGAGAGAGCTATGTATGCATTTATCAATATTATGCAAATGTATACATGTTACGTGTCAGTCATCAATGAATTAACGAATGCTTGAGAATACTTTTATTAGTATACAAACGAATTTTGCATGCCAATCTTATCGACTTGTTTTTATTATTATTATTATTATATTAGATATTCTTTTAGTTTACCTGATCGATATCTTGTTAAGTTGAATTCATTGCTTTGCAATATAAGTATTTGAGATAAATGAAATAATATAAAATAACATCAAGTAAGATAATGAAATAAGTTGAACAAATGAAGAAGAAATTGTCAAAAAAAAAGTTATCTATATCTCTATGCGCTCAAACAAGCGAGCGAACGAGAGAGAGAGAATTTTATTATTGCCATGATCCTTACTTTATATCCTCTATTAAAGAACAAATAGGAATATGTTCTGTTTATGGGAATTAATTTATTCTTTTATAAAACTATTTATTAATTCTTTTATATAAATAATTTAAGAAAAAAATCTTTAAATATTCTTTTATTGATTTGTGGCGACATCTAAATATTCAAAACAAAACGAAATCTTACAGTTAAATCTGATAATGGAAGAAAAAAATCCTTTAAAATATTGTTTCTTTTTTTAAAATGATTATCATTCACATTTACCGATTGATAAATATAACGAATCGATGAAAAAAGAAATCAATCTTTCTGAATAAATATTTATTTCTATACATTTTGAATGACGCAAAAAAGAATGTTAACAAACATTGTAATTTTGTTTTCGTTATATTCAATTTTCAAAAATTCTCAATAATTAATTTTTTTAGTTTTTTTTTTCATTGTATATGTATTATGATTATCAGATAACAGATTTCTAAAATTATGACTGTATTATCAACTAAAAAGCCTTCAAATACGAACAAAGACTCTACATCAAATCAACAACAAGCACAGCAACAAGTTTCTACAGCAACACGAACACGTTTATCATGTGATGATGAACAATCTAATAGAATAAATTTAAATGATGATTCAAATGAAACAAATATTGCATCATCATCTTCAATAACAACAACAGATAACTTACATTCAATGATGACAACAACATCACCATTATTATTTAATAATCCAAAACGTAAATCACATTATAATCAAAAATCTAGACGAAAATGTACTTCAATTGATGAAAATCCAACGAATAATTCATCAAATGAAAATGATCAATATAATAGTGAAGATGAATATGACCAAACAACAATAAAATATGATCGAAATAATCTCAACGAAGTTTGTTATATAAATTATTTTTCTGTTTCGAATTTGAATTGTTTGTTTTTATTTTCGATTTAGCTTGAAATGCGTTTTGAAAAAACTTTAAAAGAAAAAAAAGGTTTTATAATTAAACCTGTACAAGAAGATGGTGCATGTTTATTTCGAGCAATATGTAAATAGAAAAAATAAAAAAATAATTCGAGCGAATTAATTTTTTGTCTTTTTTAGCTGATCAAGTATTTGGTGATGAAGAAATGCATTCTATAGTTCGTCAAAATTGTATGGATTATATTGTAAGTCTTTAATATTAATATTTTCATTATTAATAATTTATTATTATTTTATTTAAGGTAAAAAATTCCGATTTCTTTCGTGCTTACATCACAGAAGATTTTGATCAATATATAACACGAAAACGACGACAAAATTGTCATGGAAATCATATTGAAATTATAGCACTTTCAGAATTATATAATCGACCTATTGAAGTTTATGAATATAGTACAGGTAATTATTTGTTTTCTTCTATTATCTATTCAATAAATAATTGAATATTTTTTTTAATGTTTTAAAGAACCAATTAATATTGTACATGGAGTGTATAAAACAGATAATGAGCCTATACGTTTAAGTTATCATTGTGGTGTACATTATAATTCAATAATTGATCCATGGAGACCAACAGCTGGTCATGGACTTGGACTTCCTAATCTTGAACCAGGAGTAAAAAAAATTAAAAGATGTTTTGTTTTTAATATAAATTTGATATTTTAGCGTGCTCAAGAATCATTAATTCTAACAGCATTACGTCAATCTGAAGAAAGTCATATTGAACGAACTATGCTTGATGATAAATTAGCTGCAACAGATTGGGAAGCAACACAAAATGAACTTATACAACAAATTGCAAGAGAATCTTATTTACAATGGTTATCTGATACTAATCAACAACAGAATGATAATAAAACGGTATAGAAATTTTTATTTGAATAGACTTGCGAGATTATTTATATGATTTTAACTAGCAAAATTATATTGAAGGTTTTCAGTAAACATACTTTTATGATGATTATCAACCTTGATTTGATTACCTATAATGCAAAAAAATAGCACTTGTTATTCATCACTCATTTGATTGGATTCAAGATTGATGTAGTATAATAATGCACAAATGATTCTCACTTTATAATAAACTGTTAAAAGTTACACTCAAAATTGGAATAAAAGAAAAAAAAAAGAGCAATTAGTCTTATTCATAGTTATTCTTTTATTACAACTTGCTAAATGTAGAAAATCGACCTTGTATGTTGAGAGAAATTTTCGAAAAATTATTTATTTGTAGGAACAGGTTTTTTTTTGTCATTGGGGAATTCGAATAGAAAAATGTTTCTTGTTTTAGTAATAAGATTATAAGCTGCTGTGATTTATTGGTTAATAGAAAGCATTAAAAAAAGCTTATTCTTTTAACTCTACAAGCCATTACTTTGTTTTTGGATTGAAAACATTTTCTATTAATTGATGATTAAGACGCCCACCCTCATCAGCAAAAAGCGACATTGAAATGATAGTTCAGGGTCTGATCTTTCATCAACAATATGATTTTTTTATTTAATATTTCACTCATGATTTCCGTCCGTCAGTTTCTACTTGAAAAATATGCTTTTTTTAGAATAAGCGGAAAATCTTGTTTATTTGTTCTTTGTTGATACTTCTTTAAATTTCGCATTTTAGAATTCTCGAAGGAACTTCATTGTAACTAGCTTTTGTTTGAAAGAGGATGCAAATCTTTATTGCGCTTTTCTTTTTATTATTATCTAACAAAAAAAAGCACTTCTATAAATAGATGACCAGCGTTTTTTAGAGTTCTATTGAACTTGTCATCTTTTTTTCTCGACAATAAAAATAAGAATTAAAAAGACAAAGGGCAATGCAATCTAACATGTTCTGTCATGTAGAAAAAAATCTATTGAATGAGAACCAACACAAAATAAAATGAGTTATTTTGGTCTCTTGTTGATTGAATATCTTCGGAAGACATTATGATACCATGATGAAAATTTCATGCGATTTGAATGTACATCGCCCATGATCGATTTTTGGTTTTTCATCCGTCATATAGCTTCGAAGTGTCTTCTGTCAAATTGTATATAAATAAAAGTTCTTTGGACATGAGTGGTGGTGTTTTTTTAACGTCAACTCTCGAAATCCGTAGCAGAAAAATTTATTATTCTTGATATACAAAATTCTCGTAATGATAATTTCTAAAGATGTTGAAAGCATGGGCCATGGACCTCTAACAGCACCAATTTTCGATCATGTACAAAGAATCTTCCCCGTTTCTCCAACATAGTACATTTCATCGAGCTGAAACTTTTTGCAAGTACTACTAATATCTTCAAAAGAAACTTCCTGCTCTATCGAAGTATTGTGACGGAGAAAACTGGGCGGTTTTTAGTCATTGTGATCCAAATATCTCCTAGAAGGATTTATTTGGGAATTTCAAGTTGATGAAAACTTTAGCTGTGCTCATTGAAATTTATCAGTTCTGAAAATTTCAAATATTTCTACTGAAACATTCTTCCGAAACATCGAAAGAGAAGGTTCCTCTTAATAAAGATTAATATTTTATGACTTTTGTAATGTATTAAATTAACTCCAGCTTTGTGCAATTATTGTTGATGATAATATCAAATACAAATAAGATAGAGTATTAAAATATTCGAGAAAAATAATTTCATTTAATTATTGAATCATTATTCTGAATCGAAAATCTTATTTTCTATAATCAGATTACAGAATTCATCAAGAAAAACAATAATTGTATCTCTAACTTGTATAAATTCGAGAGTAATTTTAAATTTTTTTCTTCTTTTATAGACATTATCTTCAAATTTATCATCAGAAACAACATCGGATAAAATTTCAAATACTAGTGAAAGTAAATTAAAGCTATTCATCCCAAAAATAAATTTTTATTTCTATTTAAATAATTTTTTTTTTTTTGTTTTAATAAATTCAGCAAAAGATCTATTACCATTAAGACTTGATGAACGAAAAGATTGTGAATTTGCTTTACCATTTCATTATGACGATAACACTTCATCAAATCCTGGTATGAAATTATTTAATAAAAGTTTTTTTTTTTTATTTTAAATTTAAATCTTTTATAAATTAGATCTTAATGATGATGATTCATTAATGAGACAAGTTCTTGCTATGTCACAAATTGAATATATAGAAAAATTAAAACAACAAGAATCATCGACATCTAATGATCTCAATGAACCATCATCAGACACAAATGTTTTATAGTTTTTTATTAAGTTTGTTTATTGTGTTTCTCTTTTGTTAATTTCTATTCTATTGATATTTACTAAATATAGAATATACCATCCGAAAAACAGGCAATGGATGTTAATGCCGATGGATTTCTTTATGATTATCTTTTTCTTTTGTATCTTATGTTTATGTTAATAGATTTCTGTATGTATATTTGGAATTAAACAAGAGTGATATGTTACTTGATTTTATTCTTTGAAAAAGAGAGAAGAATTATTGCTTTTTTTTATAATGTTAAAACAAGAAATAAATAATTGAAATTTGATAATAATGATTTATTAAAATCAAACTATGCGATTGCAATATAATGATATGAAATTTAATTTATTTAATATTTGTTGCATTTTTGATAAAGTTTCTTTTATTTAGTTTTGTAGAAAAGAAAGAAATTATTAAGAAGAAATGATTTTCTAGCAACATAGCTCATCAGAACGTCGCTCAAAGACAATCTACTTCTGACTCACAGATAAGTTTAATAATCAGTAGTTTAGAAGAGATTGTCTGGTTTCATGAGCTTCATGGTCACTAGACTTAATAATATTTAATTTCTTTTTATGTAAACATACGAAAACTTGTCTATAAAACAACTATTAGTGATCAAAATGATTTACAAGAATCTGTATAATTAAAAGCGAAACATTGTAAAAAGTTTTCAATTCTTTTTACTTGTGTTAGAGGTGATAGCTTTGAAGGATAGCTTTTGAAGTTTGCATGTGTAAAGAAACAGTTAGTGTATGAGCCTATCATTTACAAAAAAAAAACTTATGGGTGGAATTTTTCCTGGTGTCAAATCGCCTTTCGACTAAAACGTTGTTCATTTGATGAGTATTAGTTATTAATAGAAAAGTGTAGAATGGTTTAGTTCACTGAGCCTTTGTTCTCGACTTTACTCGAGTAAAGTTCTTAAATGAGATAAGCTGTTTCGACAAGTTTTAACAGGATAGGGAATATTAATAAAGTTTCAACTTGTTCAATGAACTAATCTTATTAAGCACTTTATTAGTGCAAAGCTTGAAGTCGAAAGTCTATTTTTATGTGAACATAGCTTTTTGTTGAAAAACCCAGTCAAATTTCGATATTTAAAGAACGAATGTTCGGAAAACTAAATCATTCTAGATTTTTCTATTACTCAACAGCTGAACCTCGTCTCAACCGAAAAGTGATTTGACACTTGGGGAGATTCCCTCGTTAGTTGATAAAATTTAATTGAATAGTAATGGCATATGAAAAAATTATGGTAACACACTGTATGTTGCAGATTTATTCATTTTGTTTCATAATCAATAAGATTATTTCAAAATTTAACGGAGATAGGTGAATGTAAAAACGTATTCAAATATTTTTAATTGTAAAAATTAAATTATTTTCTAATTCATTTCAATGATAAAAATTATGTTTGCAATACAAATTTCTTTATTGAACAAAATGTAATATTAATTCGATGTATAATTTTATTCATATCTAATCATTACATATTTCTATAGAACTAATTTCCCTTGTGTATGACAAAGTGTCATTTGTCTTAACAGGTATTAATGTAACAGCTCAGATAAAACAATCAAATAAAAAGCGTGTGAAACATTGTGTTCTTTGAAAAAGTTTTCTTTCTTCATAGAATCTTGTTATAATTCTTTGAAAAGATTAGACAAAATCTTATCCTGTTCTACGAGTGAATGATGTTCATTACTTCAATTTTTGATTTATTATTTATCTTATCAGCAAAAATTGATTGTTCGTCAATAAATTTTATATAATGTATAAAACAGTATTCTAATCATGATAATAAAAATAAAGAAAAAAAAAAACTAAATCCGATAATTATCTTTTGAATCCATAGATATATTATTTAATTGTCTGAATATCAGATTAATACAAAATTTCTTCTAAAAATTTTACTTGACCATTTTTATTAAGAGATAATTTATTTTTAAATGTATAATTTATACACAAAAAAAAAATATTTTAAACTTGACTTTGATTTCCATTGATCTGATTGTGACTACTAAGACGACTATGTTCTTCAAATAATGGATCAGAACTCTAAAAACAAAACAAAAAGAGAAAATAATATAAGTGAAACTTTTTATCTTTTTTTTCTTTCAATTTCTGTAACATTACATGAAAATTTTCTTGTATCGGATATTTATACATATATGGTTCCTGCGTTTTTTCTTCCCAATCAATGCCAGCGATACTTAAAAAAGACCAATAGAAGATATAATAGTATCAAAGAATAAATACTATCTCTATAGAAATATAATGTGTTCCATTGTTTTTCTTTAATAACTTCAGAACACAAGCAGATAGAGATCTACAGTTTTCACCATTCGAAAAAGCGCCATTGAAGATTTAAATCTTTATAAAAAAAAATTAATGAATGAAGACAACTGATTCAAACACCAAATATACACTAGACGATGTTTTCTACATAGATTGCATGCAATTTAAGGAAAATTTTGAAATTGTTCTGTTTAAAAGTAAAAAAATTGCTTGTGATAAAAACGAGTTTGTAAGTTTCGATAGTTTAAAACTTATTTATTAGTTTTTTTGTCCATGTTAATTTTAGTGTAACCAGCATGTACGTTTTTTAACAAAGTGATGTTTCACTAGATTCATGTTCTTCCCTTTACTCTTCCGAATAGTAAAAACTACAAGTCTTTAACTACTTGGCGTTTTAGATTTACTCAAAAACACAAAACAACGGAATATATTATATTTTTAGATTGCTAATGCTTACCTTAATCTCATATTTCTTTTTATAACATCAAAGAAATTATTCTAAAAAAGAATTTAATCCGATTACAAAAATAATCTTCAGTCATTTCATTACTACCTTTGTTTGTTTAGCTTCAATATTTGCTTTTATAAAAAATTCTAATATCGCTATAGTCATAGCCAATGTCAAACCACCGATTAATATATAAAATATACCAGCTACATTATCAAGATGCAGTGCATTACTTTGTTTAGAATCCTATATTAGATTAATTTATATGAGAAAAAAAAGTTTATTTTGTTTTATTGTTATAACAAACCTTTGTACTAGCACTATGACATTCTGATCTATCATACCACCATTTTCGTTTTAATGAATTCAATGTACCATCTTCACTCATCTCAAGCACGGCTATATTAATTGCTTCTCTAAAAATTAATGTTTTTTTTTTTTACTAATGTATTGAAGGTTTAAAAGAGAATTCTAAAATATTTCTACCTTAATTCTGATCCAACTGGTGTTGCTATTCCATAACCTTTTGAATCTAAATTTGAACCAATTTTCATTGTATTACATGGGTGTCGTTCATTTGTATATTCATTTTTAATTGACTTTTAAAATAGATTAAAAAAACAAACAAACAAAAATATAATTGATTCTTTTTTAAAATTTACTTCAAGTAAAAATGCATATTTTCCTTTAGATTTTCTATTCAATAGAAAAATTTATTGTAGTATGAATTTTTTAATAGAATAAAAAAATAATCTTTACCGAACTTTATTAATTCCTTCTTCATTACTATTAACTAAGACATCATCACTTTGTTGCATATTTGCCCACATACGTTGAAAAAGTTTAACATCAGATTTCTATGAAACAAAAAAACAATTCATCGAATTTGTTCTTTTGCTTTTCGTTTAAATCAAATAAATTACAACAAAAAATTCTTGTGTTGATCCACCACGTACAACACCATATTTGAGATGTGGATGTCGTGCTAAATCTTCTACACTTTCAATTGGTGAAGCCATACGTTTGACCGTTAGAAAAGCAGCTAGAATTATCAAAGTCAAATTAAAAATAATTAATAATAATAGCAGAAAATAATAGTTATGTTCACTGATTGATTATAAAATATCGAATGTGTTCAACAGTATGAACATTAAAATGTAAATTTCTTTCAACAGATTGAAATTATCACAGATCAAGTCATGTTATAATTTAACGAGGGAATCTCTTCAACTGCTCTCTTCTGATTTCAATGATTTTTGCCTATAGATACTATAGTGTTCTAATAAAAATCTTAAAAGGATTTAGGTTCCTATTGATATTCGTCTAAGCAATCGAATTTTTAATATATCTATTTTCTAGTTGCACTTCAGGTTTTTGAAAAACTCGTATTTATTAATTTTGATCCGAATCTTTGTGGATGTAGAGAACTCAACTAGACTTGCTTCCACACAAAAATTAAGAAGTTGTGACCAAGGCCTCTTCGAAATATGAGGCTTTCAGGATGTAGACCCGTGTCTGTGAATCATGTACAAAACACGTATTTTTTCTTTGCAAGCTCTATATCTGGAAAGAACTTTGTTCAAAACCTTTGCATTTTCTTTTATAGAAGCTAGTCTAGCTTGAGTCTGTACATGGATGAAGTTTTAGATCGAAATTCGAAAATACGAGTTTTTTGAAAAGCTGAAATTGCACTAGAAAAGAGACGTATTCAAAAATTTGATAGCTGAGTCAAATGTCAATAGAAGTTCAAATTATTTTAGAACTTTTTATTAGAACACTAAGAAGTATCTATAGGTAAAAAAATCATTGAAATTAGAAGGGGACAGATGAGGAGGTTCCTTCGTAAGATAGAATAGTTGAATCATTTAACACGCGTACTCTAAAGCGCATTACTATCAGTAATGTGTTTGTGATTCTTCTATTGAACACAATAAATTTCAGTAAACTGATTGTCTATCCAAAACAAGAATGAAGAATCCATCTATAGATAAGCACAATAATCTCAGGTAAAAAAAAGACCTACCGAGAAAACTAAAGAAATTTTGAAATATGCAAAAAGCTTGTCGACTATTTAGTTTTGATATACTGTCAATAAACAGATGACGATCTATCTCATACTTTTATTGACTGGGCAATTTTTTTCACCTTTGCTCACGATCGAGGAGTAAACAACAGACTTTAAAAGATTTCATATAACTTCTTGAGACTTCAAGACTGAAGTCTCTGTTGTTTTCATGTTGCTCTAGATTCTTCTTCTATTATCGATAGTTACAGCTAGCAATCAGATGTAATCAAATTGCATGAAATTTTTAGAATATGTTGGGACCGTAGTGGGGACACTATGCTAATAATTTCAGCTCTTTCTGAATGACATTCGAGGAAGATGCTGAACAAACAAGAGTCAAAAATAGCTCATTTGCTCTCTCTGGGTCCTCAATCTATAGATTTAGTGTTTTCTTTTTGTTTAAAAGAGCCTGCCAGATTGCCGTAGTTTTTTAAAAATTTTGATATAGCAATACAAAAGTTTAATTAAAATAATGAGAATTTTGAAACGCACGATCAGAAAAACATAAACAGAGAAAAAAGTCGAAAAGCATTTCTCGTTTTTTTCTGAAAAAAAGAAGTATATTTTTCACTTATAAACTAATGGAAATCATCAACTTGATGTCAAAGAAAAAATCGTGTCAGCTGTGAAACATCAGATTTCAGGTTATCATCTAAGTTTCAATTTTTCTGACGAAAATTGTTCTTTTTTCCTTAGAAAGTAGAACATTCAACGAGCAATTATCTATTCTTTTTTGACTAACCTAAATTGGCAGTATATGATGATACAAGAATCATTGAAAAATACCACCATACACTAGCAACCATTCGACCAGATATTGATCTACACAAATAAATATAAAACATAAAAAAAAACAAAAAGAATATTGTTTATTATTTAATTTACCTTGGTATAAAATCTACACCTTGTTGCATAAAAGCAGCTAATGCAAAGAAAAGTGTATTTAATATCGAAAATTTATTTGATAATTGTGGTGTAGTTTCATCTTCAATACTCCATTCATATGGTGAAAAACGTGAAACAAGAAAAAGTATAACACTAACACCAATATATGCAAATGTAACACACATCCAAATATCTTTTGATAATGGTGATGTAAATGAAAAAACACCTATACAGAAAAAAGAAAAATTTTATCTAACAAAATTCTCATATCTTGCCTGGATCATTTCTTTCTGGTTTACTGATTAAAATACTAATACCAAGATTCATCCATGGTTTACTAAAATCTACAACACTTTCACGTTGACTTGTTATTGTTAATGGTGCAACAGCAAGATCAGCTTCATGTCGAACTAATTCACCAATCATTCCATTCCATGGTTGATCATTAGTTGGTTTATTACCAAATGCATTATCTTTAACAATACGAAATTTACAACGTATTTCAAGTTTTTTTTCACATATTAAACGTGCTAAATCAACACAATAACCATATAATTGATCAAATGTAAAAAATTGACCAGCTGCATCCAATGCTGTTAAATTACCAAGCACACTTTCATTTAACATTGTAAATGGTTCATCCTAAAAAAAACAACCAAGAAAATAAAATTTTTTCTGTATCAATAAAAAACGAATCAAATAAAATACATACAATAATTGTTGTAATTATTCTTTCGCGTCCTTTATCAAAATCATGTGCTTGTCGACCTTCAAATCCTTTAAGATCATTCATAGTAAATTGATCAAGAGTAAAATTTCCAACCTAGAGAAAAACAAACAAACAAACATAGTTTCTTTTATCAAAATTGATTTTCAAATTACATTTCGTGGTAACTTATTCATTGTTATTTGATAAACATTTAATGTATAATTTGTACGGTCACCATATTCATTAAATTTTATATTACCTGTATAACCCTCAAATGAAATCTAAAAAAAATAAAAGAAGAACATTTAATAATAGTATTTTTCGTTTCTTTGTTTTACAGTTTTCATTATATTAAATAATTGTTCACCAAATGCTTCATGTTGTTGATTTTTATCTTTTGATCGACATTCAATTTTGAGATGATCAAAACTATCATCAGTATCACTTGGATGAAGAGCTTCCATACGCGTCATATCATCTAAAGCCATTATAGCTCGCATATATATGGATAAAGCATCTGCAAGGGCTTTCTTTTCGAACTAGAAAACAAAAAAAGTTTTATTTTTTGTTTTTGATAAATTCTACCGATGGTAACGAAAGACGATCAGTTGTTGCTGGATCAATTGTAGGATCCATTCTATAAGCTGATTTAGGAAGAAAATATGTAACATTAACACCACCATAACGAAAAAAACGCATATCAATTCGATCAGCGTCCTAAAATGAAAATTATTATTGTTTTTGTTTTCTTTATTTTAAAATTTTACTTACCAGAGTCATTAGAATATAATGATAATGAGGTGTTGTCATACCATGATGTCGAATCTAAATATTAATATTTACAATTCTTCGACTAAAAGTAATAATAGTGTTTTTCTCGTTTAGTTATTTTATGTGCATTTATAAACTGCACTCTTGTCTATATAACAATATTTACTGAAAGAGAATTTGAGTTCATATTATGATTTACTTAAGATATCAAAATTTTATTAAAATTTCTCTAGAGAATTATGACTTTGCAGTAATGTTATCTTTTTTGAATTCTAATCTGAAATTTCGTTCACAGAAATATCTTAATTAGTCTAGCTTATTTTAAAAAACTTTGCAGAATTATTGGAAGGAAAAATAATCCTCCTTTCGCCTACTATCTTGTGGTATATGGATGCTGCCTAGCAGTAGATTTATTAGTTCGATGTCGTCCCTACAACTAATACTAGCTGTAGTTCTGAGCAGAAAGCCGACCTGACGTGAAGTTCTTGCACTCAATTACTTGAGCCTCCGTACACTTTGGCTAACTACGTAGGCAGATGTACGTCACAATTTAATCAGCATGCTATCACACAGATGATCTGAGATAAGCAACCGCTAATGTCTTGCCCAGACTCATTCCATAGTTGGTGATATTGAGGTTTGAACGCAGCACCTACTGGATACATGCTAAACAACTTAGTCACTCACGAGAGAACCTCTTCAGATGTCCCCATCCTATTTCAATGATTTTTTTGTCTATAGACACTACGTTATGTTCTAAGAACAACCCTATAAGGATTTATATTCCTATTGAAATTTTGAGATCTGACTGAATTTTTTAATATGTTTATTTTCTAGTAGGACTCCAGATTCTTGGAAAAGTCTTATTTTCGAATTTCGATCTGAAACTTCACCTATGTACAGAACTTAACTAGATCAGCATTCATAGAAAAACTTAGGAGTTGTGAACAAAGTTTCTTTGATATATGAGACTTTCTATATATAGGTTCTGTTCCATGGATAATGTATACACCACGTATTTTTTGAAAGCTTCACTGTGTCGAAAAGACTTTGTTTGAAATTTCAGAATTATTTTCTAGTTGAGTTCTCTATATGCACAAAGAACCAGATCAAAATTTGAAAAATAAAATCTTGTTCAATAATTTTCCGTACTCATTCTATGTCTCTGTTTGGTATAGTTTAATCAAACTTTACATATTATTTTGTCATTAATCAATTCAATATTTTATTTTGATTTACTATGTAATTGTCTATCAAGTCTTACTTGCATAAGCAAATGAATATAACTATCAATAGAATTTAAGTCAAGTACAATATAACGTTCTTCTTTTGAACCTCGATCTTTAATTTCAACACTTTGAAGTAAATTTCTTGTATGATTTTGATTTTGAATATCAATTAAACGTCGAACTTGTAGATCTAATATATCATAACTTTTTTCACGTGCTTGTGTTACCATCATAGCTTGAAAGCGTGAAAATGCTTCTTCACCTTCAACAATATAATGTAATGTTGTAAATTTAAAACGTTTTATAAATGCAGTTAATGCTGGTAAAAGATCTACTTTCATAGCTAAATGATAAATTTTACTTAACGTATGAAATTCTTGTTTATTATAATTAAATGCATTTAATGATATCATTGATATATGTAAACGTGTCATAAATGAGTCAAGTAAATGAGTTTTTTGTGCATCAATACTTGATATAGAACCAATTGCACCAGTTTCAAGTTGATTACAAACTTATAGAAAAATAAATTTTATTTTCTTATTTTCAAATGAATAATAATTAATAAGCTTACTTCGATGAAAACCAGAATAGATATTAGCATTCTGTGAACAAAAACAAATTGAAATGAAACAAAAATCATTTTTAATTATATCAAAAGTTTTTAGAATACATACGCTAACATTTTCATAAACCGGCTGAAAACTATATTGATCTTTTGGCCAAATAAACTGATCAGTTAAATTCATAGCAGCTGATAAAGCTATTGAAAATACTTTTCCATCAATATCATTGGATGTTGTATCATCAACAAACCAACCTTATATAAAATATTTATATTATTAAACTACGAAAAGGACAAAAAAACAATTTTTTTTTCAAACTTACCAATTGGTATATTAGTTTGAGTTTGTATAAAAACAAAAGGATAAATAATAATCGTAATAAAAAAACGTGTTATATTTGTAATCATGTCGTGACTAAAATAATATTAAATGATTACAATTGCAAACAAGCAATGATATGAAGCATGCTAAAAAGAAACAACAGACATACATATGAATCGTTCGATTAAGTCATCGAAAATGTCAAGTAGAATTATTGTTGTTCTTCATCTCACAAATAGAAAAATCTTTTCTTTTCTGACTTAAGAGAAGACAACTAAAAAAAAGAATATATATATATATATACGCATTTTCTCTACTGAATATATTGTAAGCTGGAAAGAAAAAGCAAAAGAAGATGATGCTGATTTTGTTGTATGTCTGAGTACAAAGAAGGAGAAAAAAATTTTTTTTTTTCTGTGGATTCACTACTAAGTGAGTGATTCTATTATCTAGAGATTTAATAATGACAACGGCAGGAAAAAGACGGAAAGAGATGGAGCAAGAAAAATGTTGTACACACTATATTGAACGACAAAGATAGCAATGTCGTGATCGATTGATTGATCAACGAAGGCATGAAAAAAGCATTCTTAGTGAAAAATACTAAATCATTAAATAACATGATCGTCGAAGAAGGAAGCAACAATACTAATAGATGAACTTATTATAACATGGGTTGAATTCATAGATAATGAAGTTGAATATTAGAGATGAAATTTTTTTTTATTGCGTACTTTTTATAAGATTTTCTTTCAGAGATAAGATATTAATGTTATTCAATTGATTTCTTTCTTATACAATTATATAAAATAATTCTTCAATTGTTCGAATAGAGACAATGAAATCACATCATGTTGAATTTCTGAAAATTCTTTCTATTGTAATATCAATTTTATTATGAAAATAAGTGCTCCAATCTATCATAGAATCCGTAAAGGTGAATATAAATATGAAATTTATGATAATGATTGAGACAAATCAATTGAAAAAAAAACTTTATCAAAGAACACTTTTCTGTTTTTTTTTCGAACATTTGAAACGAATGAATATGAATATAATATTAATTAATTAGTTTTGTTTCTTAATCGTATTGATATTCATTCAAATCTTTATTTTCTAGCAAAAGACCGATAATAACTTTAGCAATCATAATCATTAGCAATAATCATATTTGGCAGTCGATTTTTCTAAAAAACAAAACATATGTTCTGCTTTACATCCTCTCATATTATTTGAAAAATATTAGAATCTGATTAAATCCAAATTGGTTATATTTATAATGAACAACAATAAATTTCATTTCCTGAGTCATTATACTGCAGCATATTTATCGCAACAAAAAGATTACAATATGTTACATTCAAGAGATTCAAATAAATGAGATATATATATATATACAGGGTGTACCAAAATTATAAGACCCCTTTTATTTTTGAAGTTTTTCCACAAAAACGAACAGCTAGATAAAATCTAAATAGTGATTTGGAAAGCCCTTGAAAATCTCTATCGAATATAGTATGAGCCAGAATTTCTAAAGAAACTTAGTGAAGAGAGTTTTCCAGAAANCGATGTTATAACCGTTTTAATTCAACTCAATCATAGAATCATTTTTCATCTTCCGAGGTCATTACCACTAACTAATATAATCCGCAATTTAATTTTTTCAAACTGACACTTATGCTGACATCGTTTATAAACGATTCGATTTGAAGATGGTTCTATTATCGACGTGAAAATATAGGAGAGGCGAATATTTTTTGAATAACTTTTGATTGGAGCATCCTAGAAACATTTAGTTTTTAGCATTCAAGAGCAAAGACTTGGAAGCATCGAAATATGATTGGTGAGAAATTGACGGATCTGGTGAATTCTTGGTCGAAGTTTTCGAAAATAATATTCTCAAGCCATTTTGCTGTCAATTCACACTTTTATTAGGACTAATCGATAGGAATAATTCTGCTCTTCGGATCGACGTAAAGCTAAGATTCCTAGCTTGTTCCACTGAAGAGTGAGAAGGCTTTTCATGAGACTCTCGATTTGTGCGTATTGACATGTAGTCACTCGAAGGAACAACTCATGATGCTGAGTGCAATGGTGATATTCGTTTGTAGGATTCGAATCTATGTGACAATTTTATCTCAATATTTTCGAAACTTCGCAATAAGCCTGCATCTGCAACGAAGAACTCGACCTTTCTGAAATATTGCGATAACAGTTTTAGAGCAGTTCGATTGTAAGAAACAAATATATCGGAAGTCTTATAATATTCGAACGAAACAAACTAGGATTGTCGGTCTTGGGTCGATTAAAAGAGCAATAGCTTGAAAATATTGTTTTCAAAAATCTCCACTAAGAACTCACATGATTTGGTCTATTGATGACCAATCATATTTCAATGATCCCGAATTCTCTCCCTTGAAAAGTGAAAGCCGCAGCTCTCCAGCACTTTTTATTGTTCAGTTATTGCAAAAATATCCAGTCGTCTTATATTTTTGAACCTACATTAGTACCTATATAGTCTAGAATAGTCGCAGGATTGATTAATTATGCGATCTATTGAAACAACTGATCGATTAAAGAAATATAGTTTTTCCTGTTGAAATTTAGGATTTATTTTCAAAAACAACATACATTCTTTCGAATTAATATAAAATGGGTGTGGATGTGTGGGCGTTGGTATAGCCGTGGTTCTTATATCGGCCATGCCCACAGTCATAGTCACGACCGCAGCCTCACCTGACACCAAATCTGGTACCCATAACCACACCCCACACAGTTATATCATGTACTATTATTAGTTCACTGTTTTCAAAGACACCTTTTACGAACTGCACGGTTCTAGTGCTTATGAATGTCTAAAGCGATGTTATAACCGTTTTAATGAAACTTCGATTCCATTTTAGGTATTTACTAGTAAAGAATATTCTTTACTGCTTAAACTTTCAGGATATTTCCAAAAATCATTAGATATTACGTATGGGCTGAATTTCAGGTTTAACTGAAACTCATGAGCATGAAACCGTTTAGAATTTTTCTAGTGTGACTGAAAGTTGTTTGTGAGTTCAATATAAATTTAAATTGCGGATTATATTAGTTAGTGGTAATGACCTCGGAAGATGAAAAATGATTCTATGATTGAGTTGAATTATCTATAGGTGAATAATAACACAAGTAATGGATAATCGAATGAATCCGGCAATTATTACTTATCTCCTTTTGTAACTGACTTGTTGAGTATTGTTTTCTTTCTCATATATTTTTTATGATATCTGATTATAGTCATTTTGTATTTAATTGTGAAAAGACTGAAATATTAGATGATGTGTTGAATTTTGAAATTGCTTTTCTTGTATTTGTGCTATTAGTTTCACTATTAGATATGTGTCGTGTTTGTTATTGTTTCATGAATTGTTGAGTCTCTTTCTTCAATGTCATCATCAATCAGTCAAATCGCATGCTCAGGTGATTTCGATCGTTTCGGTGATGAATGCCAATGTTTCTTTTTTCATTTCCATCACAATGTAATCAATGAAGACGATGTTCTCTATAAAATTCAATTCAATAATTATTTCAAAAACATATTCAAGAAATATACCTTTCTTTATTTGTATTTCTATGTAGTTTTAATTTTTTATTTAATCAGTACCTTGAAAAAGAGAGAAACTAAAATATTGAAATCTGAACTTTGGTTTTCGTCTTTCCTACCGAAATATTTTTGACCAAAATGATTCTGTTCAATTATATTGGTTTCTGAAATAACAATTGCTATACCAGGAAAAAGTTCACAAATATGTTTAACTTCATCAAGTGTAGAAAACAATATTATTCAAATTATATTTAGTTGTTGACATTGATATTCTTGAAATAATACTTCCACACCAGTGTGAACTGTTGAACTTGTTGCTATGACTAGATAAGCAATATCAGATAGGAACTTAGCATATGTAGCATAACCTCAATTGATTAAAATTTTATAGGTAGATAATATTAAATAAATTCTGAATTCACTCTTGGTCTGTAAGACGACCATTTATGAAATCTTGATTTGTACAAGGCTGTATAATATCAGTTGGAACTTAGGAGGAAGTTTCTTCTGCTTAACCCATCCGAGTTCAATGATTTGTTGCCTATAGATACTGCAGTGTTCTAATATGTAGACATGTTTAAAAAAATTTAGTTTGTATTGAGATTTGACTAAACTATCGATTTTTTAATATGTCTATTATTAGAAGAAAAAATAAATACCTCTGACATTTATTTACCTTACATTAGATTCATTAGTTCGATATCTTCCCTACAACTATGGCTGGCTGTAGCCCTAAACAGAGGGTTGGCTTGATGCAGAGTTTTTGCGCTCTCCATAAATACTAACTAGCCAGATACTGGCCACAAGAGCAGATGTATGTCATAACATAGTCAGCACATTATCAGATAAGTCATCCGAGATAAATAGCTATTAGTAACTTGTGCAGAGTCATTCCATGATTGATGATACTGAAGTTTGCACACACAGTATATCCTGTCAATGCGTATCCAATAACGTAACCACTCAATCATAGCGGCTCTGTCTATTTTCTAAAGGCTTCATGTTTTCGAAAAACTCGTATTTTCGAATTTCGATCTGAAATTTTGAACAACCCAGGTCGAATACCTACGACCGTAGTTTTGTAGAGGGTGCAATATTATCGAACATGTGGTCTTTTTCTGTGGTTGTAATGTTAAATGGTAAAATATTTAAAATATAAGCATAATTTTAATGAAAAAAATTTACAATGTTGCGCATTCATCCAGTACACAATTCCAATATTCATTAAAAAAGGTTAATGATGCTATATAATCAAGCTTGCTTCTGATCAGATGTGCAGTCCTCAAAGTGGAAGACGCCTGCATTTTATTAATTTTTGTACATGATTATCTCTATCACAAAAACTGAAACCACATATTGAAAATTAAAATTTTATTTTTAATTTTTCACAAAGCACTAAAATCTAAGTATAAGTTACGTTTCATACAAACAAAATATTTTCGCTTCTCTACGAATAATTCTATTAACACATATATTAGTGAGATTGTACGGACATTCGGAAGACTTTTCTTGTTTAGAAATCTTTCTACTGAAAAGTTGCCTTCAATGAATCAATTGATACTTAAAAAATAACTTTTTCTTCTATAGCAAAAGTTCAATGAAACATTATTTAGGTAAGTTAAAATAAATTTTTAGAATTAATTTTCTTTTGTTTAGGAGGATTTCTTTCGAAGAATTTAATGACAAATTCGAACAATATTCACTAAGATAGACAATTAACAAAGAAAGACAAAATTAGCGCAATGCAATTGTTAGATATACTCAACATCAGGAAACAGCACTAGTATCGTGATAATAAAGTTACGCACGTCAATTATTAGCACTTGAATGGTATTCCTTGAAGACAAACGCTAAACGTGTATAACAATCATCATAAACTAAGTTTCTAACTAGTCAGCGAGGTCTTTAAATCTCTTCTGTGCACCAAAACATCTATCTGGAATGATAATATGTGAAAAAAGATAATGTCTCTAATTTTCATAGAAACAGAAATTAGTCATCCGATGGTCGAACTAGATTCGAGGGTTTAAAAGAAAGTTAATTAGTTCGTCTAATAGATCACAAAAGAGTGGAGTTAAAACACTTATTGGTCCAAAATTTCTTACTGAGACCTAAAAATGAATTAAAAGGTGTTTTCGTGACGGAATAATGCTCACAAATGTGGTAATTGATAAAATGTAAATAACTGTTTGGGAAAATGACGAGACCAGCATCTGCTGATATCAACAAAGAAACCATTCAGGTTAGTTAAACATTATATGATCGACTTTAGAAAAACTTTATTTGATGACCCCAACAGTCAGACCATAAAGCAATGACATATATTGGTCTTCATTCATTCGGTATGGCATCTCTTTAATACGAGTTTTTCTCGAAGAGAAATATATTCGCAAAGATAAAAAATACAATGTTCTACGCTATCATCACCGTTCTATAAGATACTTATATTTGTTTCGGCTAACTCTGTGGTTCCAATTTTCACACAGGAGTAAATTGCTGGGTAGTCAGGTCGAGATACAATTTTGTTTGTATTAAGTATTAATTATGAAAATAATCTGAAACTCGAAGTACAACTGAAGAACGTTATTGGCGTCTTTTCGAGCTTTGTTCTATCCCATACCTCTTTGAAAATAAAGGCAAACACACACACACACACATATATTTTTATAATCGTTTTATACGATGATTAAAAAAACCTATAAAAATAATATTCTTGTCGCGAGAGATTAGTAAACATTTTTCTCTCTAAAGAACAGAGTATTAATTACTTGTTTTTTTGTTTTGCATATTATTCTCAAAACAACTTAGCACTTTTTCAATGCTTCTTTTTAAAAAGAAACAATAAAATAGAATTTTACACTAAATAGAAAAAAAACATCACAGTAAATGTCCATTGAAAATAAATTAAAAGGTATTTAGTAGTAATTAAATTGCAAAAATAATATCTGCTCTAATGGCCAAGGAAAATAAACACATCAATATGAATATCAATTGAAAATCTCATTGATTAGGAGGAAATTTGAAAAGTGCAAACAGACGTAAGAAAGCGGAACAAATACCAAACATGCCCACTTGAATAAATGTCAATGTTGATGCCCATAAATATCCTTGAGGTAAATTATTAACAGCAACCATAAACTCAGTACCATCACGAACGGTTGCTAACATAGCATTACGAGCAGTTGTCCATGGAATAAAGGATTTTTTCCTATTTATTATTACTCATTTAATTAAATAGATGAATATATACAGTAAATAGCAAAATATTTGAACAAAGTTTTTTTCCAATGTTTTTCACTGTTATAAGCGATTGAAAGATTTCTAGTAGAGAAAACTGTTTCCAGAAAATCCAAATCCTAGCTTTTAAACACCCAGAATAGAATAGAAGGTCAAAAAATGACTTTTGTATAGGAAATTGGGAAAAAAACAACTTTGGTAATTTCTATAAAAATTGCTGTATCTCTCAGCTAATAAATATTGTAGAAACCTTGGAGACATCTCATTTTGTAAAAAAAATTGTTTGCTTTACCGTTCTATGTAGTTCAAATAAAATTATATTTAGGTGTTCTAAGTGCTGAAAAACTAAGGTTTCGGTTTTCTAAAGTGTCTCTCTTTGAAAATCTTAGAATCATTTTTATTTCTTTATATTTCTGTTGAAAACAATTTTCTCTACCTGAATCACTATTTCGATTATTTCTAGCGCTTAGGACAATAGAAAAACAATTTTAAATAAACCTTGTTGAAAAATTTGGTACTCACTATAACATATATTAATACTCAATTCTTTTACTTACTCTTCTTCTTTCTTTTCTTTACTATAACTTTTCTGAGTCATATATTGTAAAAAAACACAAGCATTCCTAAGAGAAATTAAAAATTAATATTAGGTGAAATTCAAAAAAAAACATCTTTCATACCAAAATGCAGAAGTAATTAATGCTGACGCCCAGAAAAAATTCGTCAAGAAGTCCCATAAGTTTTGATCAACATCAATCATATTCATTTCGCCAAGCCAATTAATATGTTCAGATGGATAATAACCAAGCCATGAAAGATAATGTAAATATTTTAAAAAACGAACTATCCGATTTCGTTCCTAAAATATAATATTTCCAGAAAAACAGAAAATAATTGTATCATTTAAAATTCTTACACCAGGTCTTAATTCATAAGTAAGAAAATCTCGAAGAATTGTTAAATCATCATAAAGACGTAAGACAACGCGACAATCTTCTAAACGTTTATATATTCGTCGTAAAGATTGATGTAAATTTGATTCATGCGAATAAAAACCACTCAATAAACAACAAAAATAAAGTGTAAACGTAATAGCAGCATCACGACCTTCATAACAATCAAGAACTCGAATTGTTTGACTTGCTAAATTCGACATATGAAGGAGTGAATGCTATAATATTAAAGCATAGATGATTTTCTTATTCCTTTTTTTTCTATTGATATTCACTTTGATTTTTTTGTTTTCGTAATAACAGTCACATTAAAAAGCATGCCTCCTCTAGTCAATATTGCCGCTGTTCTTTTTCGACTGACTCGTTTCTTTTTTTATCGTAGCTTTTCTTATCACATATACATCGCTTTGACGTTTTCGCTGCGGTTGTGCTTGACTTCTTTTACAATCTTGTTGCTGTCGTTCTGATTAATATACGGAACATTTGATACTTACAGTTGTTTAGAGCGTAGAGAAAAAAATAATACAAAACAAAAATGAATGTCGAGTTTTTTTCTTTTTATAAACTTTCTATTTATTGCATTTCATATACTGTCTAAAGACAAAGATTGTCGACAAAAACATTTCTATTTCTTTTTTTTTGCTTTTTTCCTTTTATATTCTGTCGATTACTTTTTCTTTTTTTCCTTAATGCCTTTTGTTCTTTGAATAAAACATCTCAAGAGAAATTGAAAATGAAAACTGGTCCTGTGAATTGTAGTTCAACTTTTTTTTGAATACTACAAGACACAATTTATTAAAATAATTGAATAATACAATGAAAAAATGTAGAATTCATTACAACACATAGAATTTACACTAAAACATAATTTTCCTTTCTTTTGGGCATGTTAAACTATTACTTGAAAAAAGGTAAGAACAAAAAACTGTTTATTGACGTGAAGTGAAGCAAAGATTTCCGCTGTGGTTGTTAAAATACAGATTTTAAAAGCAGAAAATGATTTGAGATCAAAAGAAATAAATTTCTATGTATGAGTATTTGTATAAGCTTCGGAAACAAGTTTTGTGCATCAATAATGAGCTATTACAGTATGAAACATTTTAGTCGTTGTTCAATTTTCTCTGTTATGTTTTTGCCATTGCATAGAAGTTGTCAAATCCATTCTATCTGTGACACATTCATTTGATCATTACTAACAAAGCTGTTAGTGCAATGCCTACGGGATTAAATTGTGAAACACAATATAGCTAGTCTTGCTAATCACAGAGAAATTATTTTATTCTATCTATTTTGGAGCGCATTTCTTCATCATCCTTTTACTTAATCTTTCAGAAATGCAATAAGGAAGTACTTATGTGTGGATCAGAGATGTTTATAGGATGATATTTCCATACCTTGGAAAACCGATACATTGTCCATGATTCTATTTTTCAATCGAATTCAAAAGCAATAAAGTTTGTACATTTCAAAGGCATGCCTTCAAGGGAGTCAGCACATTTTTTAAATCACTATTTTCACGACTTGATATTTAGCCTCTTGTTAATAAGAATTTCTTTCATTGCTCAAGAATGTATGAATTTGAAAAAGATGAAGTCGAGTCATTGATAAGACAAGATTGAGCCAAAGTTGATGCACCATCAAGATCAACTGCACACGGTAAGTAAGTATGATTATCAGAACCATATGATATAGGACTCATAAGTTAATCTTTTGTATTAATGTGATAAAATAGCAAGAATAAGACAGAAATATAATTTTTCAATGGTCGTTTTATTTATTTATCTATTTATTTATTTATTTATTTACCTTTTTTATTCATTTATATCTATAGATGAACACTCTGAATATAAAGTACCATGGTCCCTGGTGGCCTATTTTCGATTTCTGACACACTAAACCTCAAAAAGTGCTCACATTGCTAAGAGATTCTTCTTGCAAGTAACTTTGAAGACATTCCTTACATCTTGCTGGTTTAGAAATAGTTGGTCGTTATGTTAAAGCGAAATTAAGTTTTGGTAAAGAAGAACCAGTATTAAACTGATGGGACAAATGATTATTGAGCTATCTACAACTTACTGTATTGAAAAAAGGCTACTGGAAGTTCTGGCAAGTTCAGTCACAAATGAGTATATTTTCGGTGCAAGCAGGAGAGTTTTGGAAGAGAGAAGACAGAATTGAGAGGCCAAATGGTTTATAACATTTTACTTTTACGAAAATTTTGAAATATGTGATAATTTTGTATTTGACTATCATTGAAAATCAATAAAATATGCTGAAACATAATGAGGGAAATATTATGTTGACATATACCAGTACCTGGAAATTATTGGATACGGTAGGGTAAGGTAGGACAAGGTAGCGGTACGAAAATAGCTGTAGAATAGGATAAAGGGTACGAAAAAACCTTATCCTGTAGGATTCTGCTTTGGTGTGCACTGTCAATATGTCAAATAATCGACTATAATAATTACATTAGTATTATTTATTGTAAAATTTTTAATACAATCAATATCAATGAATAAACCCCATTCAAATATCCAAGCGTTTACTTGTTTCTTGTTTATAGATAAATTAGTATAACTATATCAATGTTCGTAATTGATGAGTTTTCTTGAAATGAAAACGTAATTTTTAGTAAATAACAAGGAATTTAATATAAAGAATTGTACAGTGCACAGATTTTTAAATATTCAATATCATTATTTGAATTATTTTCTAGATGAACATATCTGAATTTCAATACATATGCAACGAAAAAAAAAAGTGCGCTTATTTTATCTTAACCTTTTTTTTTTCTAATACGAATGGATTTTTTCTTAAATACTATTGTACTACGTTCATTTTTTCTTATTGAACAAAAACTATCGGAACTTTTTAGTCTATTTGTTTTAATAAATATGTTAATTATGAATGATAAACAAATATCATTCAATACAAATTCAACATTATTATCAACAAAAGGTGAAACAAATCAAGATGAACTAAATAAATTACATGATATAGCTAATCAAACAGAACATGAACTTCAAACAGCCATTGATTCTAATATGGAACGTAATAAACAATTAAGTATTTTATTAGATCGAAGTGATTTATTATTACATAAAAATCAAGCATTTGGTTTTGGTGTTATGGATTATCGAAAAGACATTGAACGAAAACAATCAATAAATAAATTAAAATATATTGCTATTGGGATTCTTCTTCTTATTGTTATTGCTCTTATTGTTGTCTTAAATATTATTTTAAATCATACAAATTATCTATCTGATAGAAGTACAAACATTATTCTCGAATAATTTTCGTTTGTTCGATTCATTTTCATTGATCTTGAATTTTGTCTCTCGTCTTTCTTTTATGTCATGTAGTTGTGTGGATTTAATGAATAGAAAACAAATATTAGTTGATCTGATTATTAATTAAGAGGACGACTCCCGTTCAGAAAACTTGCTTTGTGTATAAAAAAATGATTTTTGAGATAAACATATGAACATGTTGTCTGGGCCTCACATCTAAATGCACATCCATACCATACTTACAACCGAACTGACGAATCGGTACTGAACCAGCCGATCCAGTCGAAGTTTTGAAACCGACTGGTTTCTTTCACCGATCAAATTATATCATAAAAGTGGCCAGTTTTTTATTGGTTCAACTTTAAATGTCAACTGATCAGCCTTCATAAGAAACCTTTTTTTTTCTTATGAATGTAGATTCTATAAATGAAATAAATATATTGAATCTTTTATCATGAAAGAAATAATAATTTCTATTGTTTCCACCTTTGAATAATCCAACATTTTTATCGTCAGATCTTTTTTCACTTCACCATACTTGTCTTTCGACATTTTTCTCTACGACCAAAGTAGAATTTATCAGACAATGGTCGGTAGCATTATCTATCATGATATATCTCGTACAAGAACGATTCAATGTACATACATGAGTGCTTCGATTGACATGTAATATATTTATGCTTCATTTCTGGTGATAATAGAATTCCGGACAAATTTTTTCTTAATATACTTCATTCTAGAGAACTCGATTTTGTTTTTATCGATAGATATAACCATAATTCTTCAAATGATAAAAATGGATTTTTTTTATTTAATCGTCAATGCTGGATAAACCTTGAATTTTTCAGACAGTCACGTGTAGTATTTTCAGACCTTTGAAGTTTCGATGATCCGAAAAATAAAAATAGAGTAAAAATTAAAAAAAAAATTTTTCTTATCCCAAGTGGTGGGAATTTGCTTTCAAATGAAAGTAATTTGAGCTCTGCACCTTGAAATATATTGAAAAAATTTCTCCGCGTAAAAGCCCTAATATGCAGCTTTGTCTGTGGAAATCTTGTGAACGATAAGATATGAGGGTCTGAAAAGTCCTTTTTTATCAATGTATTTCCATGAGCTAAACATCTATGCAAATTTTCATCAATAGCTCATGCACCCAGCCGAAATTCGATTTTTGATTCGAGACATGGAGGGGGGAGACTTAATGTATGACGCTGAAAGTGATTTACATACTGTAAGATTGAAGTTTCAATATGGAAAATCTTTCATATTCAAATAATAATATGAAGCATCTATAGATTCATGATTCGATTGAAGTTAATATTTTTTTTTTAAATATTTTTCTGCTTATTCATATTTGATGAGCAAATGAATGATCTTTGTCGTTACTTTTGATTTTTGTTATTCTATTGATTTGATCTTTGTAAATCACAACCGTACTAAAGTTTTTTTCTTCAAACAAGTTTTATTTATATTAATATTATATTCAAGACAAATTCCATATATTATTCTGTCATAAAATAAGAATAGTATTCAATAATAATATGACAGAAACAGTCGATAAGTTAGTTATTGAAAGGTTCTGGTGAAACAAGTTTTCCACTGAATAGAACAATATTTTGTTGAACTTCATGAATAAAAAATAAAAATGGTCGATTAGCTTTGAATTCAATCGATGATGATCTACCACCAAATGCAGAACCATAACGTTTCAGCATGACCACTGCAGCAGCCGCAGCTTCTGTGCCTAAATAAAATGTACAATTGAAAAAGGACAGAGTCAATTTTTGTCGTTTAAATTGAAGAGCAGAATTGCTTGTCAACATATTCATCTGATTCATTGAAGAAAAAAAAACAGAGAATGAGAAAGACAGTTTTTTTTCTCTTATAACTTCTCTATCATTGTGATTTCTTAAAGCAAGATAAGTTTCAAATAGTTGCGAAACAAGGCGATGGCTCAATCTCCCCATCTCCCTACAAGCGATGAAGTTTCACTTAAAAATGGTTTTGAATCAGCCATAGAAACCTTATCAGAGAGTCTCTGTCTCATCTATGCACATAATTAGTGAATATTATTTGTTTCACAATATGTCTTCTGAAGCCCGAAGACCGAGTGAGAAAATGAAGAGCTCAAAAGGTTTGAAGAGACTTTGTGAGACTTCAACATGTATTAAAAGCTGTTAACGCAATGTTTACGATGTTAAAATGTGAAACACAATGTAGCTGCTATTGGTAATAAAAGTGAGATTGTTTTATTCAATCTATTTTGAAACGCATTTCTTCAGGGTCCTTGTACTTAATCTTCCAAGAATTCAATAAGGAAGTAGTTCATATATTATAACGAGACGTTATTCACGTACGATCTCTGATCATATATCAACGTTTGTCACGGTCTGTGATGAAAGAGAAACATTGCTAACGATACCTATCACGTCTGTGGTGGAGAAAAAGCCGCGGGATTCCAATTTCTACTCTATACATCAATAATCCTTTTTCATCATGCTTCACATAAGCTATAGCTTAAAAACCAAAAGACTTCATAAGACTTGATGAGACTTCAAAATTGAAGTCTCTACTGTTTCTCCTTTGTCTAGGGCTTAACGATAGAATATCCGATACGCCCTTTCGCATAAATTCTTCCGAAGAAGAACAAAAAGTATAAATTTAACTACTCACCATTTTCATTGACATTAAGAAATGTTTTATGAATAACCTAAAGCATAAATACACAAAACAATCAATTGTATCATTTATTAATAAATTCATTACTTTGCTTATGCATATACTATTTTCATCAGTTACTCTGCCAATAATACCTTTAAAATCTGCTTTTGTCTCACTAAATGCATCTTCCATCCCCAATGAGATAAGAATATCTTTTAATTCATAATTAGTTTCTAATTTAAATTTCGGCAAATAAATTGAAACGTCTGTTAATGGTGCACTTACAATATTTAATACTTCCTGTCTTAATTTCGGATTTGACATTAATTTTTGTTCGACTATATCTACTTCTATACCTTCATGTGGTAAAACAATTGTGAAAACGAATTTAAAATATTGATCTGAACTTTTATATGGTAAATGAGCAATTTGAACATGTAAATCTTCGTTTTCAACATAATTATAGCATTCTTTTCTATACATTAATGCAATTTTTGAAGTAACACCATTTGCCTGATAAAAGTCTGCATTTTTATCAGTATTCCTTTCTTGAAATTTATCTTGCCATTCACCCTAAATTTAGCAAAAAAACAAAAAAAAATAAATGAATAACAAAGCAATTATAAAATAATGTATTAAAAAAGACGTATTTACCTTGAAGTAGATACAATTAATAAGCATGAATCGTGTATCACTTGTGACGTCTTTCGTTGATAATATGTCACGTATCTGTCTGTTTGTTTTTTCTTCTATCCATGTATTTATTTTTCGAACAACATAAGCACTTTTATTTTGAAAATCTTCATATTTAATATCGGATTGAAATGATCGTTTAATAAGATCTACGTATTTTTCTCGTGTTTTATATCCTCTTTGTGCATAAAGACGATTAACTAATTTAAGTTGAAATGGTATAAAATTAGGTTCCATAGAAAGTCTTGATCTTAGTGGCGGTAAATCATTTGCATATTCATCTGTTGAGGATTTACTTTCATCAGCATGTGAAAATACTTGCATAACTTCTTCAGCTATTTGAATTAATTCTTCTTTTGACGATACTTCAAGTACTTGTAACATTTGTTGTAATGTTTCATTTCGAGCACCAACTGTACACATAGATATGGCAAGAGCAATACTTGTTGGTGAAAGAAATACATTTTGACCATTGTTTTGTTGACTAATAGTTGCGAAAAGTTTAGAATCAAAATGCTCGAAACCTTTAGTCAATGACGCCATGTTCTTTTTTTGTATATGAAAATAAATGAGAGTAATTTATCTAATAGCTTTTTTTATATCCTTGTTTTTACACAAAATATTTTTGTTTTATTTTGTATTTTTCGTCGGAGGAAAGAAAACGACAAATATACATTAGTGTATGGTAAATGCATCATTAATGTGACTAACTGAGAACACAAGTTATAAACAAGAACAGATAAAAAAAGAAAACTTTTATCATTAGAGAAAAATTGCAGTAAAATAGTACTATTGTAGAATCATTGTACAAGTAGTGCAAGAAATTTCAACAATTTTCTGCTTTTTATGTCACAAAATACACGGAGCAATGAAATATTTTCATTCGATGAAAAAAGTTTGTTAGCACAGCTCCTTTGTAACTGAAATGTGGAACTTACATATGCTCTTTAGCATCATTCAACTAATCAAAAATACGTAAAGTAAAAATATCTCTCGTAGACTATAGGTTATATTCCAAGATAATCATTCACGAGAGTAAGTTTCTGTCTTATTTAATTCTGTGTTTCGAACAAAAACTTGTTTTCTTTTTTTTACTGGGGCTCCATTTTTTGTTTGACTTGTTGCTATTTGCTCGTTATTGTCTCTTCACAGTATTCCATTTTTCTTAATTTAAGATTGTTATTATTACAAGCATTGAATTAAATGCCAAAGAAGGCTGTTGTAAATATTGATTATATATACATCAGCATTTCTCAACGCACTATTCTATATCTCAAATAACTCACAAACACTGATATTGATTATTTTCTAAAGTTATAACTTGATCAATTCACGTCTTTTTACGTTGAACATATGACAACTATGGCAAATCAATGCATCACTAGCAATGATCATGCACACTTTGAAAATAGTTTTTGTATCTGCACAGTAAATTTTAAAAAATGCATTATTTAAATCATTCACAAACATATTTCAGCCATTTCAATTTTGACGAAGGCATTGGAATACTCTAAAACTATTTTCGATAGCTAAAGTCTGCAAAGGAGAGAAAGTTAGAGGGAGTTGAGAAAGTACGACTAAAACTCTACACTCACTATTCTCTTCGAAAACACATGTAACTTTCACAAAATTAACATTTTTACTTCAGGATAATTAAATAACGAAATGACGAAAATAATTAGTTTTTATGATTGACAGTACTGATTCATACATATCTATGACACAAGCATAATATTCATGCTAATGATATTTTGTTTCATTTGAGAGTCATATAAAGGAGAAAGGAGTGTGATGTCTTTTCGTCACCTTGCAGGATTGGATGTTGCTGATCGACAGATTTAGTAGCCAGATATGTTCTGTGTAATGAGTACTAGATACAAGAGCAAGTGTATGTCATAACAAAGTCAGCATGCTGTTGAAACGTGGATTCAAGACAGAAACCGTCAGTGACTTGTTCAGGATCATTCCATAGCTATAGGTACCAAGGTTTAAACAAAGAACCTTGTGGATACATGTCGAATAAGGTAACTACTCAACTATCGCAGCAAGAATAATAACATGACCAAAGTTTTTATTTTTATATAATTGATAGACATAGATTTACTGAGAATATTATGCTTGGCAACTAAAGTTAAAGAATTCATTTAAGTTATTTTCTAAGCTATTTATGAAATAAGAGTATAGATAAATTTATTGTATATCTTTTCATCAATTAATTCAAAGTGCGTGAATATACGATACAAAACAAATGAAAATAGTTGTTTTTTTTTATGATACTGTTGGTGGTGAAACAAATTTGCCACTAAATAAAACAATATTTTGTTGACTTTCACGAATGAAAAATAAAAATGGTCGATCAGCTTTGAATTCAATAGGTGATGGTTTCGGAGCCATTGATGAGAAACAACGATTCATGACAACCGCAGTAGCTGCTGCTGCTTCTGAGCCTAAATGAAGCGATAGAAAAAATAAAGAAAAAATCGGAGAATTTCCAGTTCTGGTTTCAAATGGATATCGAACACTAAGCGCAAACTTATACTAATTGTTGATTCTAATGCATAAGAAAAATAAACATTAACTCTCCACAAGTCATCTTAATTAATTTATTAATCAATTTTACAAAAGTACTTATCAAAGCATACATTACAACGATAAATTTGTAGACGTATGAAATTTGCCAGTAAACAGTGTCAAGTTATGTCGAGTTTCTCGAATATAAAACAAAAATGGATGATCAGCTTTGAATACAATTGGAACAGGTTTTTGACGCATCGATAATGATTCTGTACACATAATAACAGCTGTAGCAGCAGCAGCTTCCGAACCTAATTCAAGCGAAAATAAAGAGCACGTTTCATCACTCAGCTCAACTAATCAGATGATGAGATTTTACATCATCGAACCATTGATCTTGCGTGATATTATAAGATGAGAGGAAAACCGTAAGAAAAATCATACACTCCTCTGCAAGATTTTACATCTTATTTTTTTACTTTGGGATATTCGCTCGTATGACTCCTGTACCTTACTCAAAAAAAGAACTTATTCGTTTGCACAATAATAACATTCTCCGTGAAAGACCATAAGAAAGAAAAAATATTAAAAGAGTAATGATATCTAGAGAGAAGTTTTATTGTTTCATAAAGAAAATCACATTATGATATGAATGATGATGAAAACTTTCCAGAAAATAATGTAATATTCTCTTGAAGTTCTCGAATCATAAAAAGAAACGGACGATCAACTTTGAATTCAATTGGTTTGATATCTGATGCTATTCGACGTCTTTTTGTAAGTCTTACGGCAGTAACAGCTGCTGCTTCCGATCCTTGAAAAGAAAAGGAAGAATAGAAAACTGAATAAAAATTATTTTCTAAGATAGGGCAAAGTTAAAAGAATAAAATCACTGATATAATTATTAACATATCATTCAGAATGTAGATAAAGAACATACTTTCAGTGTTGCATAATGTACTTCATTAATGTTTTTTATTTGTTCAATGAAGAATTTCGATAAAAGTTTCTAGTAAATTATGTCATTTTTTGTTTGTTTTCTTGATAGAAAAACAAAAATAATTCATGAATTCCCCTCCTGCACATGATTGGAAGATTGAAAGCGTATGAAATTTTCAGATTATGTTTTAGCTGTAGCAGAGAGCCTATGACTAAATTTTCAGCTTCATATCATAATGTTTTCTTGAGATATGCAACAAACAGAAGTATAAAATAGCTAATTTGAAAACCAGAAATTTTCTCTAGGCCTTCAGTTTATATATTTCACTTTTCTTCTGTTTCATAGAGCATGTCAGAGACTGCAAGGACTGATAAAGTATTTCTGTTTAAAACTCTTATTTTTTTGTTCAAGACTGAAGCTGATAAATCTGTATCACTAAAAGCTCTCAAAAACTGCTTAAACAAACACCTGATTTTTGTGAATTCTTTGCTACACTAGATTTTCAAAACAGAACGAAATTTAAAAAACGCCTCTATCGGACCCTACAGCGAGGAACGTTTTTTAAATAAAAGAAAAATAAAATATACAAATGAAAGCTCCACAAAGAATTTCAGTTTGTCAAGTGATCTATTGCTGATGATTTCTCGATGAATATATCACGACAACATCTCAGCATCGAACAGGAAACTCCATCATAGCCTTTTCCCTAGGGTCCGCATCTATTATGAAAATCTCATGTGATGTGAGTGTTTATGGCTCAAAATTAATTTTAAATAAGCTTCAATGTCCTATGATCATAAAATTTTCATATCACAATCACTACTGTTGCTTCAGACTCTTTACAACTTGAATGAAGTAAATCAATGCTTTCTGTCTTTCATTCTCAGTCTTTATCAATAAGCTACTTTATGAAAATACACACTTACCTTGTTCATTCACATCGATAAAGGCTTTGTGAATAACCTAAAATTTTATATTAAAAACATATGCATTTTCTTATTAACGTTTTTTCTACTTTGCTAATGTATAAACCATGTCTATCATCTTGTTGACTGACAATACCAGTAAAATCTGCTTTGCTATCACTAAATGCATTTATCATTCCAAGGTGTATAAGAACATCATTTAATTCAAATGCAGCTTCCATTTTAAATTTTGGTAAATATAAAAGAAGTTCTTGTGTTCTAGTATTTTCATCATTTAACACTTTTTCCATTAAGTCGGGCTTTGATGTTAATTTTTGTTCAACTTCATCCANAATACTAGAAAATAAAATATAATGTTCATGGTCCAAAATCAATCTTAAGTCAAATTCAATATCTTATGAATATAACATTCTTATACCATAATCACTACCGCTGGTTAAGAATCTTTACAACTTGGATGAAGTAAATCAATGCTTTCTGTCTTTCACTCTCAGCCTTTATCAACAAATCAGTGTATAAAAATACACACACTCACCTATTTCATTGACATCGATAAACGCTTTGTGAATAACCTTAAAATTTTATATTGAGAATAAATGAATTTTCTTATTATGACTCTTTTCTACCTTGCTAATATATAAATCATTTCTATCATCTTGTTGACTGACAATACCAGTAAAATCTGCTTTGCTATCACTAAATGCATTTATCATTCCAAGGTGTATAAGAACATCATTTAACACAAATGCAGCTTCCATTTTAAATTTTGGTAAATATAAAAGAAGTTCTTGTGTTCTAGTATTTTCATCATTTAACACTTTTTCCATTAAGTCGGGCTTTGATGTTAATTTTTGTTCAACTTCATCCAATGAAACACCTTGCTTAGGTAAAATTACAGTAAAAACAAATTGAACTTCTTGATTTTCACTCTTATACGGTAAATGAGCAATTTGTACATGTAAATCGTTATTTTCAGCATAAGCGTATTTTTCTTTTTGATACATTAGTTTTATTTTTGATATGTTACCATTAGCTTCATGAAAATCAGCATTTTGTGTAGTGAATTGTTCTTGAAATTGTTTTATCCATGTACCCTATTATTCAATTAGTAAAAAAAAGAAATTATTTTACTTTCATGGAAACTAGTATTTACCTTAAAATAAATACAATTAACAATGATTAATCGTGTATCACGTGTAACATCATTTTTCGACAGTAAATTCTGAATTAATTTATTAGTTTGTTCTTCAACCCATGTATTTATTGTTTGAACAGCATGAGCAGTGTCATTTTCAAAATCTTCAAGTTTAATATTAGCTTTGAAAGAGTTTTGAACAAGACTTAAATAATCTGGTTGAATTTTATAGGCTTTTTGTGCATAAAGACGATTAGCTAATTTAAGTTGAACTTGTGTATCGTGATCAGCAATAGAAAATACATGCATAATTTTTTCAGCTGTTTTTGTTAAATCGTCTATTGATGATGCATCCAGAACATGTAGCATTTGATCTAATGTTTCTTTTCGAGCACCAACTGTACACATTGACATAGCAAGAGCAATACTTGCTGGTGAAAGAAATACATTTTGATTATTCTTATTTTGACTGACAATCGAATAAAGTTTGTGACCAAAATGTTCGAAGTCCATAGTTGTTGATGATAATGATGATGAAGCTATGTTTTTTGTATGTATGAGAAAAAAAGAATGAAAGAAACGGCTTTATGTTCCTGTTTTTGTACTCTGTTTTTTATATGAATGTTTACCTTGGTTGTTTTTGTTCGACTCAGCATATAGAGAACCGCACACGAAAGCTTATGCGATCTGCATGAATAATCCAGTAAGTCAACAGTAAAAAATAAGAGAGAAATTAACCCCTGAAAAAATCAAGAAAGCTATTCATTTTAATGCAGCAAATAAGAGAAGAGAAAAAATTAGAGATTGGTGGTACAGTAGGTTGTTTATTTATTGATCAGCCTGCCTAATAGTGAGTTGCATTTGTGACAATATGACTCACATTTCTTTAAACAAATAAATTGTTTCTATATGGTGAAGTATCTGTTTGCCATTGCCTTGCTAGATTTTTATTAATTCATAAAGTCGTAAATATGACAATATCATGTTTTTATAAACAAATTCCTCGCTATAATGAAAGTAGCATGCCACTCAATCTTAAATATTACATGTTTGATGCATGGACAATACCATTTCTTTTAAAGAAATCAGAAAATCTATTATTTGTAAAAAATGAAAGTTCATTAAAACTACAGTTTAGACCTTTATATATGATATGTAAACATGAAAAAAATAATGAAGTTTTTCGTTTTTTTTTTGCAAAAATTCAAGAGTTATTGACTTGAAGGTGATGAAATTCTCTATAACTGATATTCTATTTAATGAATGTGTCATAACAATCATTGTGCATATACATAGCTACGAGCTAATTGCGAAAAAAAAAGTCATGTATGATGAACGAGCAAATAACGATTAAAGATAGTAGTCTACTCTCTCCCTCTTTTTATTTTTGTCTCTATATACTTAGTAATGCTGTCTGTTGGTTATAAACTCAAGGAATCGATACATGCAGAAAGAAAAAAAATCTTTGAAGGGTCCGTTTTTTTTTTTCTTCGTCATCTCTTCTCGTGCCTGGAGCAGTATAGTATATATATATGTATTGTAATAGTTTCTTTTACACTCGATGACCTCATATTTACGAAAGTATGTAACTGCACTTGCATCAGCAAAAGATTATATAGCTCAATGGTCATCTGATCATGTTTTTGCTGATGAAGAACTTATTGTACCATTTCCAACATTAGCTATATATGATCCAAATAAACGTATTTGGACAGTACATATTAAAGCTTGGGTATATTTACCATTGCAAACAAAATCATTAACAAGTTATCTTCCGTCATTGCCAAGTTTTTTAACTAGTAGTAAAAGTAATGAAAAACAAAATGAAGAAACAAAAACGAACGAAGAGAAAATGGAAGATTGTATTAATGTCAATGATGAAAATAAAAGAACAATAACAGTTTCGAATGAAGAAAATGAAAAGAAAATAACTGAAGAATCCGAATCAACAACTGATGATAAAGTGGATCAAGATAAAAAAGATGTAGCAGCTGTTGCTAGTAAAGAAAATGATCAAACAAAGAATAAAGATGGATCCAGTGATGAAGCAAACGATTTCGCTGATGATTTGTATGAAGAAGCTTTGCGTATGTATTTTTTTCATTTTTTTTTTTCATGATTTAGTTTTCTCAATTATTAACTAAAAGTTCTTATATAATAGAAGAAGAATTTGGTACACCTGATGAAAATCCTGGTCGATTAGGTTTATTTTTTGTTGGAAGTTCTGTTAAAATTGTAACTAAATCAATTATAAATGGTGTTGAACATTTGCTGCAACCAGCAGATGAAAGTGGTTTTATTGAAGAAAATCTTGAACTTTCAGATGAAGAAATTCAATCACTTTCTACAACAACTCATTCCGATTCGCAAGATAGAAAATTTGAATATCAAATACAGATTGATCAAAGTAAAAAGACAGACAAAAGACAAAAAAAAGATGATAATAATAAAACATTTCAATGTACAATTTACGTTCTTTCTCCTGATGGTTTTAGTGTTATATCAGATATTGATGATACAATTAAAGTTTCTGATGTACTTAGTAAAAGATTATTGTTGAAACATACTTTTTACAGTTATTTTAAACCGATTGAAGGTATAAGTGATCTTTATCAAAAATGGCATGAACAAAAATGTCAATTTCATTATGTTAGTGCAAGTCCATGGCAATTGTAAATGTTTGAAATGACAAAGAAACAAAAACATTTGATATTTATTTTTAGGTATCCTGCTCTTCGTTGTTTCTTGGCAAAATATAACTTTCCAATAGGAACTATGAATTTGAGAAAGTTTACATGGGATTTGAAATTTTTTAAGCCAGCCGATACATATAAAATTGAAACTATTTCAGAAATTATTGATGCTTATCCACTAAGAAAATATATTTGTGTTGGTGATTCAGGTTTGTTTGATCTGTATACGTTTAAAAATTTAATTTACATGAAATGTTTCTTTTAGGTGAACTTGATCCTGAAATTTATTCAAAATTATATATTAAATATCCTCAATCAATTGTCCATATATTTATTCGTGATATTTGTCGAACACCTGTATGTTTACTAACATGTGAAGAAAGATATAAAAAAGCATTCGAAAATATACCAAAAGAACGTTGGACTATATTTAAACACGCCAAAGAAATTGAAACAGATATTAATAAATTTCTTTCTGTGTAGAATACATAGGTTTGGTTTTTCTTACAAGTTTATATTTTGTGAAGTGCTGCAGACAGACATGTAATTTTCGTTCACACAAACGACTTTATTTTGTTTAGAATTGATTGTATATCATTAAAACAAATCATTTTCGAGAAAATAAAGTATTTTTCGACGAAAAACATCTAACAGGAACACTGGTCAATATTTTTTCGATAACATTTTTTTGGTTAAAAAACATCTTGTGTTATACATCATCCAATTTAGTTTCTCGCGCTTATTGTCAATGTGCCATTGTTGTGCAATGAACATATTTCTGGGCAGAACAAACTGGAAGCTACCTGGAAAACTATGGTTTCTTCAAATTCCATAACTGCGTTCAAAAATGTTTGAGCTAAATGTGTTGAAAGATTTTAGATAGACAAATATTTGGACAAGTTTTGAGGGGATTTGAGTCATGACTAAGGATGCTGTAATCATTTTACTAAAATATTTCTTAGTTTAAATTGAAGTTTTTTTTACGGATGGATAAAGAATACTAAGACAGGTGTAAACATGTGCTAGTTTTGTCTGCTTATTGACTGAATCTTACACAAATGTTTCATTCTTTTTTAATAGCACGTAGATTTTCAGCGAAGTTTTTGACTGGCGCCTACCCACTCCATTTAACATTTATAGCAAAAACTTTTAAGGCAGCAGATAGAACATGTTATGAAACAAGCTTACTATCATTGAAGTCGAGGAAATGTTTACTTTCGTTGTTTCATTTAATATCTGTCTAGATGCGCACTGTGCATGCCTCGTTCCGGATACAGTGAGAAATAACCTTGAAAAAAATTTTCCCCATTGCCAAACTCATTGAAAAAGTTTAGTCGCAATAAAAGGTCAAATTTCAATACTTTTACAGAAAAATATCGTTTTTTGCGGAAAATAAAAAAAGTCCGACAATAAATTATATATAGTCTAAAACTAGAACGTCTGCTTTGCCGATTTATAAGAAAAGTTGTTGTTCTGATAAAAAACAATTTTTTCTTTTCCGACAAGACGTTTTCAGTTAAAGTTGGCCATTACTTTTTTCACTAATCTGATGTCGACGAAAATTTCAGCGTTCTTCTGTATTCGGAACATACACTCAGTTAGCGCAAAGACGTTGAAAATGCTTCTCCACTGCGACATACAGTTTCTTCGTCACAAAAGCACTTTACCAGAAAAAAAACACATTTAGAATCACTGTGAAAAACAGCATAGAGTAATGTACTGTTTGTCCATTTTTCGAATCAAAAGTGTTTTTCACAGAAGTTTAAACTAAAGATCTTCCTCAGGAACTATTCATCGCAAACGATCCTTTTTTTTCAACAGTCCTATTTTTCAGTGCAAGAACCTTATATTTCTATAAAAAAAAAAATTTTTTTTCCCGGATTACGACAAATTTCACCATGAAAATGTTAAAGACTATGCCAGACCTTTTAACAACACCGTTCTTGTAACAGACGTTGATTATGAACTACTGCCTTATTGTATTTCTGGATTATTAAGTAACATAATCATGACGAGATATATTCCAAAACAGATGAAATCAAACAATTTTCCTATAATTAGTAACAGCAGTTACATTTATTAAGTTTCTATGTAATTTATTCATGAAAACGAAAACATTCATTAGCGATAACCCATATTAATGAATTAACATCAACAGTTAATACAAATATATGTGAAAAAAGACGTTTTTCTTTCGGAACTGATGTGCTTCCGGGTGGACCATATATGACAGCACCACTAACAAATACTTGATATGTTTTTGCTTCATTTGGAAATAAATCTTAAAAAAAAAAGAATAATAATAATTAATCTACAAAAATATTTTATTTTATTTTGTCTTTTACCGTTCATTGGAAAAAAATCAAGTGCATAAATATTATGACGTGTTGCTGGTAATGAAACGAGATGTTTTGCAATTGCATTTTGTCCATTGAATTCAATTCCATTCCAAACTAATTTAGCATCTGCTTGATAAAATTTATCGATATCCTTTAAGCAACAAAAAAACAAGACATGTTTTTTATTTCTGTTTAAACAAAAAGAAAAACAAATCTTACATGTCTTCTTGTATCAAAGATATCATAATATCGTTTAGAAAAATTTTCTACAGCATCTACATCTTCTCGACATTTTTTTTGCTAAATAATCGAAATTGATATAATACACATAATCATATAAATTCCTTTTCACACCTGATCCGTTGTTGTTAACATTGATTTAAATACAAAGAATACTTTTATTTGAGTGTTTTTATCTGAAATATGAATTATGTTTATTTATAAATCAATCAAAATGATTTATATATCTAGTCAGACAACTATAAAAGAAAAAAAAGCATTTTTTTTTTAATCAAATTAAGTTGAACATCAAGTTAATGTTTATTTTTTTTCTTCTTTTTGATCACGTTCACCATTTTCAGTACGATTGTTTCGTTTTGAACTAAAATTAATAAATGAATTTCATTAGTTTCTTAGACATATTACAAAGAAATAGATGTGTAGTCAAGTTTGTTCTGTTTCTGTAGAGAGACCTATAGAAACTGATTCTTATTAACCTATATTACAAGATCATAGACAAATCAAAGACTATATAAACTAACAAAAAAGAATAAGTTATCTAAACATGAAAAGTTCATTGAGAAAAGTGAAATCTCTAGTTGAAGCATATGTAATCTTCTGAATTATTTTCCTTTTTCTTAGAAGAATAGAAAATTAAACGGAAAGTTTAAGGTTACTTTTTTGCTATAATAAAACAATGTTAAATTGACTTTCTTAGTAAGAAAGTTGTCAGCAGTACTTAGAGCTTGTCGAAATTATTGTTGATCTGGATATAGTCGGGTCAACCTAATGGGATCATTTTTGAAAAATCCAATCCAATCATGATTTGATCATTATACGAATATTTGAGATATGTGTAAGGCACACTAGTCACCAAATACCAAAGAAAAAAAAAGGAATAACGTATATCATATCACCTAGGTGGCTATCCTGTTCATATTATATAACTCCATTGAAATTATTAAAGTACGGTTCGATCAGTCCCCGTCATTCATTGCATGACATGCCAGTCATAGAGAATCCTGAAGAAGCATCGAAAGCCGGCAGGTGGCAGCGAAAGTATATAAAAGACTGTTACTTATACCGGCAATGAAGAGTTCGGTCATCAAGTAGGCTATAGACTTGTGAAACTCCTCTGTTCTTCATAAAAATTAGACCATGCATAATTATTTCAATATGATATTTTTTTTTTCTACAGCAAGGATTTCCACATCATGACTTCATTTTGTTAATGAGATAATCTAACTTTTCCATAATTTTTACTTTTATATTAGATTTGAAATGTTTATATATAGGCAATTTAAAAGAAAACTTACGTTGATGTTGATCTTGAACGACGTGGTGATCGAGATTGTGAACTAAAATTAATAAAAGTTTATCAAAAAAAAATATTTTCACAATAATTTTCTTTAAATATACTGTCGATGATGACTACTACTACGTGATCGATGTTTTGAACGTTGTCGAGATCTTGATCGTGAACGTGTTCTAAATTTAAATATTAAAAAATTTCACTTGTCTTCTATTCATAATATTCACAGTAACTTTTCTTTTTAAATGAAAAAAATATGCAGACTTGTTACTTTGAGAAAAAAAAAAAGAAAAGAAAAAGTAGCCTATTCGACGAAACATGTATATCTTACATCTGATCTGTTCAATCAACTGGAATATAACTGCAGTCTCGCTCTGTTTAGTTTGAATGAATGAAATCGAAAATGCAGCATATAAACACCGGGATAAACCAATATTTTTTATTTTCTCGAACATGTCGATTTCTATACATTCTGGATACAGCATCTTTGTGCAGAAGAATACCTGTGTGAATAGAGATAAACAAGTTTGTTTATTCTAGTCTTATGGGAAGACAAACAAAAATAAATAATATGGGAAAATTTATAAATCTAAATTTTTCTATTCTTGATACTATTTTTTCCTATGATCTTACCGTCGATGGCGAGCTTTTTCTCGACTATCGGAAGCTGATGCACGACCATAACGAGCAAATTGTACACGTATTTCACGTCCATCAAGATCAGTACCATCCATACGTTCAAGTGCATCTTGTGCATCACGTTTTTTAGTAAAACTTGAGAAAATAAAAAGCATGAATAAAATAAATAAAAGATCTAAATTGATAAAACATACCGAACAAAAGCATAACCACGACTTGATCGTGAGAATTGATCTCGTGGAATATAGATATCACCAATAGGACCAAATTTTTCGAAACATCGTCGTAAATCTTCGACACGTGTACGATATGTTAAATTATCAACTTTAAGTGAATACATCACATCAACATTAGGCGATATTGCACGACGATTACCACCATTGCGTGATCGATTACTCATTTTATAAGATAATTTCAATACAATTTTGTTGTACAAATTAATAACAAATAATGAGGAAACAATGCAGTAAAAGGAAATAACAATGAGTAATTGCAGCCATTTATATATTACCTGAGACAATTTGACTAGAGGTTCAACGGATACTAGAGACATCTACGGAGACGTCAACAACTTTAGTCCATAAGTCATGTTAACTGTAAGCTTAAGGCCGTGCCAAGAAAATAGTGGTGTATATTTTTTGAATAACTTTTGATAGAATGCAGATAGAGAACTGCGATTATAATTTTTTTTTTTGACATAACCTTTTTCAAGGTTTTCAATCATGAGATCTGCATTCGAACCGCCAATCGAATATCTATCAAACGACGCAAGTCTAACAGTTTTACCTTTAATCATATAAGAGTTATAAGCAGGGGTGTTACCAGGTCACCAAGATAATGGGTGATCCTTATTGCGTGAGTTGGTTATCTAAGAAAACGAAGAAAACCATTCAGTTCGATTAAGGAGAAGCAAAAGTTTCTTAAAATTTGAGGATGATCCCTAGTTAGAAGTATTGTACTCAAGACCCTGAATCGGTTTTTTTAAGGAATAGATGTGAAAAAAAATTCACTTTTTTCTTTTCCTATAGAAAAATTTTTTTTTATAGAAAACTTATGTAGAAAATTTCAGGAAACATTTTAGGCAAATCTAGCATATATGACTCGATGTGAGTTTATCTTTTCTTCCTGACGGTGAACATTGCAGTGCTCTATCCTGTGTCTATGAAAATTTATTCAAAAAAATACCCACTTGCGGTTTTTTTTTTTTTGTAAATGAGCATTAATGTTACACAAGCTATGTCAATGGTTTTACAAGCCAGAAATTTTTGCATTTGGTATAAACATAACTTCATAAATATTCTCATGATCGCATGTTGATCCATTCAGTTATGGGTTTGTTTGTTTTTCTTGAGTGTTCAACTATTTTTTATAAAATAAATAAGCTTAAGTTTGATTTAAAAAAGTAAGATTGCAATATATTCATTCCTAAGATTACGAATAGATAATTATTTAGATCATTATCTTAGATCAAGATAGTTCTAATTTCTATTGCCTATTTGTTTTTTTTTTTGTTATAATCCGTTGAAATAATCAAAAAGAAAAATGATTAGAAAAAAAATAAACTTTTAATCAAGTTTAAATATTTTTTATTCAAATAGAATGACTGTAATTATGTTTTTTGTTTACTATATATTAAAAATTAAACCAAACTTGACACGTTGAAAAGACTCGAAATCAAAGTCGATTCAAATTTCTATTTTCCTTGTACGGTTATTCATCTGTAATCGAATAATGCTTTTAAATATTTAATAATTGCGTTTTTTCAAATAAAAGCAACACTTATATGTTAAAATACACTTTAAACATTGTATTTCCAGGTAACTTTTTCAATCAATTTCTGTTTGCCTCGCCAAACGTAAATACGTAATTGACTGTAAGAATATATTTCATGCAATCATTAGCTGCATGTACATAATAAACATTTTGCATGCATCGATTAATATGAACATATAACATGACATGTTTTTGCACATTCGTCAATAGTGTAGTTGTAAAGTGACTTACATAGACGAACAGTTCGGCTTTACTCCGAAAAGAATAGACTTCATACACGTATTGTGTACGTAGTAGAACACTCAAGACCAAGAATCAAAGCCAATAATTGACCAATTCTTGTAATATTTATAGATTTCGTGTCAGCATTTGACAAGATATAATATCCAGCTCTAATTTTAACACTTCTCAAACTAGATGTTTCATTAAGAATTTTACGATAGATTTTTTATTGATTGACAGGAAGAACAATGCCGAATCATCTTCCTTCCTTCTGAATTGAACCTAATATGTCATCCTTTTGCAGACGACCGAACTATTGTCATATCTGGAACTTTTCAGAACCGTCTCTCTAAAAATATTGTCGTACTAGAAAAGTAAACAAAGATAGCAATGAACAAAGAGATGAGTGCGGCATCTGAGCATATGCTCAGACAATTGAAAAAACGCTATTTTACCGTTAAAACGGTGCTTCACGTCACATTGTTTAAACGGTAATGTATTGTCCCAAGTACCCGTTTATCTCCAAAAACGGTTTCGAAGCACGCGTTTTTACCATTTGAACGCTAAATTATAACTATGCTAAATATAAATTCGGTGACGATTAAAAGTATGATTTTTGATAATTTAATATTTAGTAAACAATTCTTTGTTTTTTTTAATCAATATTTAATCAAATCAACGAGTACTTTTTATAATTTTACGAAAGAGAAATATTTGATTTTGAATAAATCTTGCTATTTATCTAAATAAAAGAAAATTCCTGCATTTTAAAACATTAAATATGAATAGCAGTACTTTTCGTAAGTTGTCGACCTTCTACCAAAATAAAAAGGTTGAAACCTATGGAAAATAGTTGTATCCATATGTTATTTTTTAATAAATACAGGAATTTTCGTTTATTTTGATAAATATTAAGACGTATTCAAAATTAAATATTTCTCTTTCGTAAAAGAATGCAAACTACTCGTTAATTTGATTACATATCGGCAAAAATTGATTACAGGCTTTCTTCTATCAAATTTATTTGTTCTAGCTATTCTTTTATATTCTTTCAAGATAATTTAAATTTTTGTCGATTGGTTATGGGTAACGTGTGTGCCTTATATCTGATAAATATTCTACTGAAATCATTTCAAGTTTTTTAGACTAGCTCCAAAGTTTATATATGCATAGTACTATTTTCGTTGAATATTTTATTGAGTTTTTACGATATCAGATACCTTTACGCGTTCACAACGCGTTAGAATGTACGGCTTTTGTGATTTTTATTTGTTTAATATTTAAAACGTATTTTTTAGGCGTTTGCTTGTGACAGTAAGCACATTCTATCGAAGAGGTATACAAATCAATATATCATGATTCTCTGAAAGTTACCTACGACTACTTGATGGTACCTGTATTCCTATATTCTTACACCTATGTTGTTACTCTTAAAGTTTTACATCTATATCTATGTTCTTGTCCCTATACCTTTATGTACAAACCCTTATATGTATAATCTTTCATGTCTATACCCTTATATCTATATCCTGACTCGTCAAACCTAATACCTATAGTCTTGCCTCAATGCTCTTACACCTATGCTCTTACCACTATATCGTTATATCTATTCTTTTACTTCTATGACATAACGCATATGCGCTTATCCTTGTACCCTTATATCTGTATGCTTAACTGTATACTTTTATACTTGCACGTGTATATCTATAGTTTACATTTGTATTGCGATACTAATATTCTTACGTCTATACCGCTGTACCTTTACTATTAGACTTATACTCTATTAGATAAATTTTGTATAAATTCTTCTTTTCTTTCTAATAATAATCTGAATTTCTTTAACAAAACTTAATGTTTCATGAGGCAAGTATATATACATTAGTTTTCTCTATAAGCGCTATCTATGAATTGTTCAAGAGATTGAAAAAAGAAGGTGTGATACTTAGCAAAAAAATCTTTTAGTTAATATGCAGAAAAACACATTTTTGTAAAAATTTATGTGAAAAAATTATACTTTCTATTTCATTGTTCTTATTCAACTTAACTTCATTGTGATATAATAAATCCATCAATTCATAACGAACATAAATGAAAATGAAATAGATACGTTTTTTCATAAATCAACGGTTAAGGAAATGAACATAGGAGAATAAGTAACAAGAAAAACTGAAAACAACAAAAACGAATAGTTCTAATTATTATCGGTATTATTTGTGAATTACGTTTCAAGAAAACGCAAGAAGCTATGATTGATGAGATGTATTATTGATCAAATGAATTTTGTATACATTTCAGCTATTACAGGAAACAAAGAAACTAGCAATTCTTGACAAATTATACGAACAAATCAATAACTATAGAAACTGAGCCGAGTACTATGTAGGCAATAAGAAAACGCTAAATAGTTATTTAAGAGTTAATTTTTTTTCAATAAGCGAGCTATAATGAGCGAATATTGAACGCAGTAAACCAGTACTATGAGAAAAAAAAGTAATTCGAGTTGTTGGTAAGACATTATCACATTAAATCTATATAGTTCTGTCAACGTGATTTAACTCGTAAAATCAACAGCAAGACCGGGAGAAAAATGCGTGAGTTGAGTTTCGAAAAGCTTATGTATTTTAACGGTTCCAAGATTTAGTAACGCATTTTAATTTGTTTAAGATTTTGTAATAATGGTGCTTTAAGGATAGGTTTTCGTTTAAATAACATTATTACGAAATATTAACGAGTTTAAACACGTTTTATTCAAGGTCTAAAATCTATGTGTGTATTTTTTCTTTTGTTGCTTTCCTCTCCGTCTGTTTCTCTTTTCTTCTTTTATCTAACATGACTAAAATCATTTCTCCATGATAATTGACTAATGCATGATATTGATTGATTGATTAATATGTGAATTCTTACTCGATTAAAAGAAATTTTTTATTTTATATAAATACCGATACAGGTAATTGCTTTTCTAAAGATAATTCGTCAGGTAATAAAGCAGAATAAAAGCTCTAGACAATTGAATTTTCTTTCATTGTGCTCTGAAACCATAAAAGCTCGAATTCAATAGATACAAGTAAGGAAGACAACCGCAGTTCTATAAAAAAGAAAGGAATAATACTGCTTCGCATTTATAGCAGTTTTTTCTGAAAAACAAAAATCATCATTTTAGATATTTATGATGACTCCTCACATAATAAATACTGATTTATAAAAAAAAGCGTCTAAACGACTATGTAATATGATAAATGCTTTGACACACTATTGAAACGTTAAGACGAAAAGAAAAAGTGATGATCAATTTTTTTGCCATTTATCACCATTTTCTAGTGGAAAAGTCGAATGTCATCGTTTAAACAACAAATTAGGCGTTTCGCTTCTGGCTACGCGCACCAATTTTTTCCATAAAATGCTGTGGTGCTCATACATATTTGACATTAGACTGAAAATTAAGATCGTACCTATGAGTGAGAGTTAAAGTATTTCTATTCTATTTTTTCAATCAAGACAAGGCTATTTTTCGAAAATAAAGATTTTTTTAAAATAAAACTTGACTAAAGATGTCTGGAGTGAAAGAATCCGAATCTCTAGTCGGTTTTTCAAAATTCTTGAATTCGATTTTTCCTGTCAGCAGAAGACTATTTCAAACAAATAACCGAGTCTTCTGAAAATTGAGTAAACACTAAGAAATATGCTTCTACTAACCGAAGAAATCGAATTCCAGAATTTTGAAAAATTCGTTAGAGATTCGGATTCTTCAACTCTGGAAACCTTTTGTCAAATTTTGCGAAACAAAAATGAAATTAAAATAATGTGACTTGCACTCACAGATATGACCTTGATTTTCAGTCTAATTCTAAATATGTATCAGCACTTTCAGTAGGAAAAGATGCTGAAAAAGCCGAAAGATGTTAGGAGCTCTAAGCCTGCACTTTCTTCTTAACAATGATTTTATTAGTTGAATGCATAGATAAGAACTTAGTTCTAGTAAATACTAATAAAACTAAATCTTTACTTGTCTATTGTGTTTTAGCACCATATTATAGTAAAGTAAAATATTTAGATGTAGAAATTAATTTTGGTAAACCTTTTAAATATGTAGGAGTCGATATAACAACTAAACTCAGATGAAGAATATATACCCCAAATCGCTTGAAAAAAATTAAAATAAAAGTCTATTACACTCTTCAAATTCTTTTTACGAAAACACCAATTTCTCTAGTTCAACTAAGGAATAAATTGTTCTTTGCTTATACTTTTCCCCACATATAAACTAACATTTTTCATGGGGATTTTATCTGAATCGAAGTTCAACAAAAACCGAATGCAAATCTCCATTGTTCACAACTACGCATAACATATAACCTTAATATGTGAGATGATCTTATAGTTTATAATATATTAACAAAAGAATATTCAGTAAATGATTATTAATATAAATAATGAACAAAATGTAATAAATATATAGAAATCTTTATCTAATTATATCAACATCAACTGACGTGAGTTTATTTCGTATCGCATTGCAATAACTCTTCGAAAGAATTCGTACTTTAGCATATATATGCGGAAAGTAGTCAATTTTTTAATCACTTATTAGTGAGAACACATCACTCGAAAATCGACCTGTTGGATATTTTTAGACTGCTCATTCGTAGCAATACAGGTTATTTAAAAATGCATCCTTTCTAAACATATTCTTTTTCTTTTTATAGATAAATATCTATCAAACAGACAATAATTATTCGTCAAGAATCAAATAAAGTGTAATAAATATATTGTGATGTCATGCGTTAAATTTTCTTCTCTTTTTTTTGTTCTTTAATGGACCGTCCTATATTTTATGATACCTCAAGAAGCTGTTTTTCTTTTCTGCATCATTTCTGCCGTCTCACTCTTATTGTCATTTACTTGGAAAAAAGATGTCACGAACCCACAAATTTATGAAGATGATACCTTTACTTTTCATTCTTCTCCTCTTCTCCTCTTCTTCTTGTTATTTGATTATTGTCCGTGCTATTTACTCATTCTTCATTTCTTTTCATCTTGCGTATAGACAACATCGTCTTCTAGGAACAAAAAAGTCAATGTGAAAAAAATAAGAACGATATATTCTAAGATGGTTGAAAATAGACCTATTTCTTTTTTTTTACCACATCGCTTCTTATGATCGACAGTTTAGGAAAAAAGAATATCTCTATTGATTCTGCGTCGGCATAACAAATAATACTCAAAAATTTATACATAGCACGTCAAGTAACAGATGCATAAATGTTGATGAGGTCTCACAGTCGTAAGTCACTCTTTTTATTTTAGAATATCTCTATCCTAGTTTTTTGTTTACCTGTTGTGATATATATTAAAAATGATTACTTCAAATTATATAATGCTTTCAATTTTCTATCCGATTTTACTTTGCTTTATACAGTCAATTTTTTGATTGTTGTATTCATATATATTGTTTTGTTTGATTGATTTCATCATACATACAGAAAATAGACTTTTCGTACTTGATGATGTGCATAAATTTTTTTCCATTGACATAGCGAGTTAGATATTGTTATTGTACAAGAAGTTTTTACATGTCTTAGACAATAAAAGTAAAAAACCTACGTAAGCCATAATCAGATGTTATTTTCATGTCCTTTCTTTTTCCCAATCGACTAAATATGAGTAACAGATGAATGATAATTATTTGTAATCATAAATAATTCATAAAGTATGTGAAAATAAAATAAAATTATTTATAAGTTTAGTTATAAATTTGGCAGTGCTTGAAGATGTATATTTCAAGATGGCGTTTTTCTCAACGATATTTATTTACCGGTCTTAGTTTATTATTTTTCTCAACTTTATATCTTTATTCTCAATTTTTTCAACAACAACTGGATTTCTATGATGAAAATTCAGAACAACCAACGTATTGTGATCAAACAATTATTCGTAAACATTTTATGAATAATCAAAGGTAATTTTGAATTAATTTAAGATTTTAATAGATCAATACAAGCTATAATCTTTTTGTTATGTCATGGAAAAATTTCTTGTTTTATTTATTTAAAAAATACAAATCGGTAGAGTTTGATCTTATTGATCCCTAGGAATCAATGATAGGACAAGTGCAAGTATAGCGAATAAAAGTATTTTAGTCGTCTTTTCAAGGTATACTTGCTCCCGTACTTGTACTTGTGTTTACGCACGAAAAAAAAGGACTTCATACTTTTATTCGATATATAAATACAAATAAATTTTATCGTTACAGTTGACTAACTGTAAAAAATGTTTCAAGATCATTATAATATCATCTAATTCAAAGGTAAATGAAAATAAGAATATTTTAATGGAATTCTTTTTCTGTCATATGTGGAAGAATTCATTGTAGAACACTTGCAGAAATCAGCTATTTTAATTTTTCTAGTTTTTTCAAAATTATAATGGATATCTATAAATGATGATACTTGTTAAACTTACTATCATAGATAAATATGTTTTTCCATGAGACTAAGAAGAATCTATGCTCTACAAGCCAGATCAGATTATTACTTTGCTGTTTCCAATTCATCGATAAGATTTCTTAAATATTAATTGGAAGAATTTTAGTATTGAATGTTGATGCAAGATTACTTGAATATATCTTACATCTATCTGAAAGTTTATGTTAAAATCATTAATTCTTCCTAATAATATTAAATTTCAAATAAATGTAATTTATCAGATCTGTTTTGATATGTGACTAAGTGAAGAAATTTAATATGTTTATGAGGAAAATTTACATTGAAAAAATCTCATAGAGTCATCTGAAAGTCATTCACAATCTATTGCAAGATTAATTAGTTCTAACGTGAACATCTTTCATTCTTCATACAATACGTCGAAAATCTAAAAAATGCTTTATATGAAAGAGTTTTAGGTTTTCAAAAATAAGAAAAAATCTGAAATTGGTTTTAATTTTTATTAAGTATATATATATGTATTTAGCAGACGATTAAACTACGTAATCGAATAAACTTTAATATTTGAGACGTCTTCCACTGACGACAATAGTGAAGTGTTCAGAAAGAAACTTCAAATATATAAAGAGACATTGATTCGTATTGGAAGTAAAAGTACGAAGCACAGATTTTTGTTGATAAGTGTAAGTATGCAAGTATTGGTCTCAAGCTACAAGTATAAATAGCAAGTAAATATCATGAATATTTGTGCTTTACTTTTGCTTGATAAAGTACAAGTACAAATCCTTTCGTCCGGATTCTGTTAGAAGTGTCACAGTACGAATACCCTCATACCGTGTTGGTATTGTGACATGTCGATTGATTTCATCGTTGTTCGTTCAAAATGTATGTTTTTTTTTCCTGTTTATATTAAAGGTATAATGGAATGATTAACATTTGTTACAAGAAATTTAGAACAATCGAAGAAAATCGAGTCTTTATAAACTAAATTATTGCCTATTAGATGATTGTCTTTGAAAAGATTGATCTTCACACTGATTAGTGTCCAGTTGAATAGTATACGGTCGGAAAATGATAGGAAAGCAGAATTACGAATACAATGTCCGAATCCAGTCGACTTATTATTCTGCTTTCGACAGAAAATGGCTATAAACAAGTAGAACGGATCATCAGACACGATCATCATAATACTGCTTCCAATTTTCCCAGCATTTTTTTAGGGAAAAAATCATGAAATCGAACGCTATAATCATTGACTTGGATGGAGTTTCAATACACAACATTAGTGACATCTTCACTTTTATCACATCGTTCTCATTCTCACGCAGTGCTTTGTATAGAAATTACAAGAATCAATTTGAAGATGTTATTAAAGTAAACATGTTCTATCTAAACAAACATCTTAATAATGATAACTTTGTTGTGTCTTGAGAAGGCGACAATATGCAAATTTATAGAAGTTAGGAGTGCCTTCTTCCCGTCATTCATGAAAAATTTTCGTTTTGTCTCCAGCGTAGTTCCAGTGTTTCATTCTCAACTTTATCAAACATCCTTCAATCTGCCTTCTGAGTAATCAACCCTCCGTTCCCAATTCTGGCGACCTCAGAACACGTGTCATAAAAACAAAAATGATAATTTATTATTCGACCAAATTAAGAAACCAATAAAAATAAGAGTTGCCTTTTTCACTTCTCACCACACTATTGATATATCTTTTATATGATGTATACATTTAGGCGAACTAAAATTGATTTAATAACCTGATTGGTGTTACCACGTAGCAACACCAATCAAATTGCTTAATTTTATTTTAGTTGATGAAGTGTATACGAGATATCACCTATCACGCATATTAGTATCTATTTCATCGATATTTTAAGACAAAAAAAAATAAAACATTTAATAGTCACACAATACGATGCATTAAAATCTGTGTCAATAGACTTTACAGGTAAAATTTCTATTATAGCTTTTAGCAATAAACTATAAACTTATATATTGATGAGAAAATAAAATGTTTTATTTAAGTTAAAATACATATATACTATAAATAATTATATAACAATAATTTCAATGAGAATAAAAAAAACGTTAATAATGATAGTATTGATGAAAACGACAAATTAGAATAGTTTGGAATTCTTCTGAATCTCAAAAGACTTATCGAAATATAAATAAATATCAATGCATCTATTTATTGGACTTAATTTAAAACCTTGAAAACAAAAAATTTTATGTTTTAGTCCTAAACAATTATTTGAACAAGAACCAATTCGAACAGGTTTTAATTATGAAATAATAAATGAACTTTTTTGTTCGTTGGTAAAACCTCATGCTCTTATATTTGTTGTTTCAAAATCAAGGAATTATGATTCACGAAATGCTATTCGTCGTACATGGGGTAATTTAGATCGTGTAACATCTCTCAATAAATTTTCTTATCTTCATCTCAAACTTCTTTTTCTTATTGATATTGATGAAACTTGTTTACTAAGCATCAATCTTGAACAAGCATTATTTCAAGATCTTGTTCAAGTTCGCTTACCACAACATTACACGTTATCAACGTTTCGAGATATGGCAATGTTACATTGGACAGAAACATATTGTCCAGAAGCAATAATGACAGTAAAAACAGATGATGATATTATTCTTAATACCTATTTATTAGCTAATGTAATAGGTTCTATTCTTACGAATATGACAAGTAGTCAATCAATACATCAATGTAACTATTCGGATACATCAGCAATTATTTATGGAGTTAAAATCCAAAATGCTAATGTTGTTCGAAATTCTAATGATCCATATGGAGAAGGACCACGTTATATTGTAGCTAATGATGAATATCCATGTAAAAATTATCCTCTTTACATGAGTGGTTTTGGTTATATTGTTAATCGTAATGCACGTTCAAAACTTCTTTGTACTTTTTTTCGAGATAAAAAACCTTTTCATATATCTGATGTGTATGTAACTGGTATATTACCTGAATATATTGGTATACAGCGAAAACATTTAGGCATATTAATAAGTTATCAATCAAGCGATAATTGTGAAAATTTTTTTTTAAAAAAATATGCTGATAATTATGCGTGTGCATCATCATTACATTATAATAATAAGCAAGTTAATGTATTTGAACGTTTTAACACATATTGGAAAAGTATATATAATGATAGAGTTTTTTATAGCCATCGAAATTTTTTTCCTATACTGAACAAATAAAAATAAATCTTACATTTATTCTTCTAGATTAGATAAATATGAAATTAGGATGGCGTTGCCAACGTTTCTTTATTAATTTAGTTTTGATATGGATCTATGTATTGATTTGTTTAGCATGTCTTTGCTTGATTCATTATATTTGGTGTGCAACAAAAAATATATGTACTAATCGTATTTTATGTCCACGTCGTCAATTAGTTTTATATCCACATCTACTCAATTTTCTAAACAATGATTATTCATTATGTAGTCAACGATCAGCAAAACGTGGTCCACACCAACGTGTTATTGGTGTATCAGCTTATTTATCTAAAACAGATAATAAAAAATTAGTATCAAAAGTATGGACATATTTACTTGAGTATATTGAAGAAGCAAAAGAAAAATATCCTGATTGGATTGTTCGTGTTTATTATTATTCACTTGATATATCTGAAGAAGAAATACTTCGTATGGAAAATAATTATAAAAATGTTGATTTTTGTGATGCAACAAATATTCCTGTGCTTGGCAATGTTTTAAATTGGTTACCAGGAAAAATGCAACGTTTTCTTCCAATAGCTGATCCACTTGTTGATATATATATGTCACGAGATATTGATTCACCTATACTTGAACGTGAAGCATTCATTGTTCGTGGATGGTTAGATTCTCAACAAACTATTCATATTATTCGTGACCATCATGAACATAGTGTACCAATATTAGGAGGTCTATGGGGAATTAAATTAAGTAAAGAACGTTCATTGGTTAATAATGTTTCACAATATTTACTTTCACCTGATGTTGTTAAATGCTATAAAGGTAAAGGTGATCAAAATTTTCTTGAAGATTATATTTGGCCACATGTAACTATGTATGATAAAATGACACTTGAATTTGATAGTTTCTTTTGTGAAAGATTTCCAAATTCACGTCCATTTCCAATACGCAAAGAATCACCAACACTTTTTATTGGTTGTCGTCGACCGAATTGTACGCAGGACAAACACCCCGAATGTCCGAAGAAATGTCGACCTGCTCATCATCCCGATTGGATATGGTGTTAAAAGGAAAAGCAAATTTAGAAATATCTAATGAATATCTTGTCTGTTATGATCATAGTAGAATATTAATTGTCTGAGAAAGGAAAACTCTAAAAGTTTATTTTTATTCTTATTTCGAATTAAATCAGAGTTGTAACCGATAATGACTAATAGTCGATTGATAAAAACAACGTTTTCTTTATCAGTCAATCGAGCTTTTTCTCTGAGAATTAAATATTTTGAAGAAATATTTTTTGAAATTATTCTCATGGAAAAAAAACACGTCTCACAAGGGACGTGCTCCAACTGAAAAACCTCTTTTGAGGCGAGACTATGTGTATTATATAAAATGAAATGACTCATGAATACTCTAAAAAAAATAGTTCAGATTCTTATCTTATGGCTACCAAGATACTGCACTTTCATAGTAGTTTTTAAATGTAATGCTGTGGCAAGAGAAAAACTGATTTTCGAATGTCCACTTGACACTTTGCATAGAGACGGACGTTAACGAGAATATTTTCTTGTGACTGTTTCAGATCTTGTCATTATTCTTATTCTAAGAAATAACTATAGTAAAATAGCATGGCTTTTGTATCACTCATATGCACCGACAGATTTGATGTTCTTATTCCACGGTAGTAACAAAATCAAAAGATCTAAAACTATTCTTGTCAAGACCTCTCTCAATGCAAAGTTTCAAGTAAAAATTTGGAAATCAGTTTCCCTAATGTTTCTGAAAGGAAGCTACAGCATAAATATAAAAATTACTGTAAATTTGAAATACTTATGTTGCCATAATCTACGAATCCGAACTCTTTTAGGCATATTCGAAACTTATTTGGACCTACATGATACACATGATGTCAACACAAAAGCGATTAATCAGTAGGAGAACTTTCTTCATTAGACTAACTTATGTGAGAAAGCTTGATATAATATGCTTAGTATAGTATATAGTCTTCCTTTGATATCAAATTAACTCATCAAAAACGAAAAACTGTTTAGGAGGATTCATTTATTTGTATTTGTCACTATTGATAACTCCTAAACGGTATATTAGTAAAAATAACAGCAAAGTAATTACTACTTAGGAAAAAAATTAAGAATATACTTTCATTAATAATTTCCATGTTTAATGAATGCTTAGCCATTCTATACAATCAATATAGCCCTTACACTTATGCTGATCTCTCGACCATTTCAATCTGATTTGATCATTTGGATCGATACCGATAAGAAAACGAAATCCTATCAGTTACAACTCTTGATTAAATTATACATCTTTTCTAACTCAATATAAACGCAATAATTTCAAATTTCAAGTGAAAAATCTGAAAACTTTTATAGGCGTACTTAGTTCTTTAGATATATGATTAGCTTAATTTACGATTTTATTTAATGCGAATACAAGACAAAAGCCGTTTGTTTTTGCATAAATATTATAACATATTTTCTTATTTGCTAAGTTTTTATTTTCAAGGTCAGCACCAACAAAAATTTTCCAGAGCATAAATTACAAGGTTGACTGGAACAGTTTACTCATTCCAATAAAAGAAAAATAGAATTCAACTAAGTAGACATTTTACCGTTCTGAATCGAACCAACCTGATCTGATTGACTGGTCTAAAATTCGTACTGATATCGTTATCATCTGTGGAGCAAATTTCTTATTGTTTTCAAACTTATCTTCGATATGTATGTTGAGTTTTTCAACATTTTTAGAAAGCTGATAGTCTCGAAAAAATAATTTTGTAGTTTATAATTATTATTTAACTTGAAAAAATAAATGATTACTCATTTTTTATACACTAAGCTTTCAACTGATAAAGGCAATATATAAACGATATTTTTATTTCCAAATAATCTTATCAAAACGCTTTCAAAATTTCTTGAATATAGTTTTTATTTCTTCAAAAATTTTATAAAGACTTTATATACGAGTAAAATTTAAAATAATATCTAATAATCTTCTTCTTTCGTTGATATACATGTAATTCATTAAAGTATTACAAGTCTTCTCTATCGATCTTTATTATTATATTGTCTATTGTAAAATATGGTAGATTCTGTGATCTGTTGTTATTGTTATATTCATTATTTGTTTTTTAGTTTAATCTCAACGAATTTTATGTACCAAAATAGTTCATAACTGTTAATTTTTGTTTTCTTTTTTTATTTTGTTGCAATTTTATGAAGAGTTCGAATTTCATATTTATTTTCATCTCAATTATGAATAATATTGTTTTGTGTGTGCGTAACATTAATATAAATGATATAAAGTTAAGTGATAATTCAGCAGTATGTCTTAATTTAGTTGAAAAATAAAAATGTCGAAAATCGACCGACGAGCATTATCAAGAAATAGACACTTTTTTTTGTTTTGATATTAGAACTATAGCATTATATGTTTTAGAGAAAAAACTTTTTGGTGAATAAAAAAAAAAAAAAAAGTAAAATAATGAAATAAAATAAATAAATGAATAAATAAACTATTATTACATAAATGCATCATTATTCGAGTTTTTTTTCGTAATTAAATATGATAAAGAAGTAATCAGATCCAATACATGGATAAAATTATCATCATATCAATTATACAGAATATTAATAGGATGTTGCATCAATATCTATTGCGGCTGGAGATCTGTTGCTGCTGCGATGATTTTCAAAAACAAAGTGTTGTGAAAGCGTTATCATAGATATCTTTGGAATCTTGTTTGAATACTTTTATTTTCTTATCACACCAGCCGATCACTGAATCGTAATGCATTATATCGTTTTTTTCTTCTTCTTGCAAGAATTTGATGAAACATCATATGCTGACATGATTTCGACAGATACGACTGTTCATTCTGCTGTAATAATCTTTAAAAACAAAAAATTAAAATTGAAGCGGTCATTTTCATCTTCACAAACATTATTCGCTAATGTTTCATCGGTGGACATTTTCCATGAATCAATATTATACATCCAAGTTCTTTTCAAAATAAACTAATAATTCTTGTATCGAATAGCCAGATAATTGATTAACAATAGCTCAGATTTCGTTGAAACTCCTGATCACTTGCTAACGAAGTATCATTTAATAGCTCTAGACTGTTAGGATCATCTCTCTTCAAGTCGACGATTCCGATACCCGTATTCGTAAATTTCCGACAGCTGTTATCGAATTCTTTCTTTCAAATTCCTAACACTTTCACGATTTTTTTCGACTGGAAAATGGTTTGTATTTCTTGACCAAGATCTTCAGTGTCATAATAGAATTTTCTTTATTCAATGTGTTGAATAAGTCTAATATTATTAATTTAAAATAAAAAATAATGTATTATGATCATGAACAAAAAATTTCTTTTCATAAGAATATAAATAATAAATGATGAAAAATTTTTGTTTTTCTATGATATTCAGGTAAAATCAAATAAAAATCACAATTTATTTCTGCGATAAACAAAACTGTGCACTAAATAATTATAAAAACAGAAAATTTTTTGTTCTCTTTATTGATCTTTCACCTGAAGGCAAGAATCCATAAAAATGTTTTTTTTTTACTTTTACGTTTGTTCTGTTACGCACGATGATTTGCGGAAGTTAATCATACATTTACTTGTTTTTCTTTTCTTCAATATCTATACGTTTTGACTATTAAAAAAGCAATGCAACAGTTTTTATTCGTAATTTTTCTTAGTATATCACTTATTCAAACACTTGATTATAATATTGATAATCAACAAGTATGTACACATAAACCATTTATGGTTAATTTTCAACATTATTGTTCTCGTACACGATTGATTCAAGATGTTAATATTCCTAATAGTGATCAAATTTTACATATATCTATTATTTTTAAATCAATATCAAGTAACAGAACATCATTAAATATTATTAAATCATCACAATACAAACAAAAAATTTATTTTACATTTTTTACAATTTTTGGACGATTTATGTATATAAATAATAACACAATAATACCATTAAATGATAGAACAATAAGTTCATATTTATATAATACATCCTCAGAAGAATTTACTCAATGGACTAATTCAGTTCTTATTCCATTAACACCTTATTTAAGTGATCCTTTTTGTTTTTTAAAACAACAAAATTTTCTTCCATTGGAAAATATTTCTCGTATTTATTATTTATATACAAATGAAACAAATCTTAATATAGATTTATCAATGTCGAGTTATCTAATTTCACCATTATTTTTTTATACGTGTTTTAGTGTAGAAACACGTGTTAGCACAGCTGGAATAATTCTTATTGTTAGTATTAGTGTTTTAGGTCTTATTACAACAGTTCTTATTGGTATTTGTCTAAGGAAACAACTCACTCAATTGTATCATATTTTAGAGAATTGGATAAAGCAAAAACGTGGTTTGATACCCTCAATTACTATTCATGGTAAGCCTTCATCATAATACATGAACTATGTGATGAAGAAAAATAAACTTATGCTTAAATTAAAATAATTTATTTCAGCTAACAAACTTTTTGTTCTTTTATTAATGTGATATTTCGATGTAAAAATTATATTCTTAGAAATAAAATTATGAATTTAATAATAAAAAAGTTGATTTATCCAAAAAAAGAAGATCGTTATCCTCACAAGAGGACGTTTTCAAGTTATCAGTCACTTTTTAACGAAAACTATTGGAGTATAAGTTATCCATCATGTTGATTCTGAATATGACCATAAGAAATCTTCTCACATCTTTATATGGTTGTTTTTCTAGACTGAAAAAGAAAGAATATTTTTGCCTTTCGGCTATCTTACGATATATACTACTGCATAGCAGCAGATTCATTAGTCAAGGATATTCCCTACAATTAGAAATAGCTGTAGCTGTGGATAGAAGGCTGATCTGACGCAGAGTTCTTGAGCTCAATCACTTTAACTCCGTATGCACATTAGCTAACCATATACTAGCCACAAGGGTAGATGTATGTCACAACTTAGTCAGCATGCTATCGAGCGGGTAATCCGACATAAACAGCCGTTAGTGACTTGTCCAAGGTCATTTCATAGCAGGTGGTACCGAGCTTTGAAGACAGCACCTAGAGAATAGATTATAGAACATATCGAATCGTCTAGATAACACTTACATTAAAATGTTGTCGGCTTATGTTTTTGTAAACTCGGATCCAAGTCCCGTCGTGTTTGAGTTTGAAAGGATCCGTAGTTCCTTAACAGTAACTTCTCTGTTTCAAATGGTTTGGTTTGGGGAAAATACAGTCACATTAATTCATACAACAGAATAGGTATCGATATTTTAATTTAAAAATCTTCAAGATGGTTTTATTTGACGTAAAATTAATTTTAGAAAAACAGAAAAGATTATTGACTTGATGACAACTCGATATGCTCTTTCATCTAAGTAAATTCAAAACTATTTTAGAGAAATTTTTGATAAACTGAAGAGCTGGTTTTCTTAAAGCAGCAGCATGGTCGATAATCCATAATCTTGTAGTTTTTGGTGAGAGAGCGACTAATCATTTGACGATGTTCCTTCGTTATATTTTTCCTTTTTATAAAATGGATTAGCCAGAGATGTTCACAGGGTGATACTTTCATACGATCACCTGGTTTCGAATATGCATCGAAAAACGTGCCTGCCCTACTTCACTATACCAGACGGATCACTATTTTCAAGATGAAATCTTTGGTTTTTCTCCAATAAAAATTGCTTTACATGTTCAGGAGTCTACTAATTTGAGGAAGATGTAGTTGAGTCATTAACAAGAAACAATGGAGACCCATTTCATACATCATTTACATCAACAGCAGACAGTAAGTATCATGATGGAAAGTAAATATGCCGTAAAACTCATAAATTAATCTTTTGCGTCAATATGGTAAAATAACGTAAGTTAGAAGTACAAATAAAATTTTTCCAGGGTCATTTTATATATTTATTTATTGTCTACCATTTCTATTCAAATTTGCATCTATACATGAAAACTATGAATATCAATTTGTATGGGCCTCTAGGGTATATTTTTGATTTTTGACACTCAAAAATCTCTCTTACCAAAAATGAAAATTATTTGTTCAAATTTGCAAGGTATAAAAACCTGACTCTGCTCTGTCCAGTACCTTACCCGTTTGAATTTCTCTCGTACCAACATTTCATGTTCTGTTAACCGTTCGAAAAACGCCGGTTAATTACAGTTCTTCTGTTTGAATTTTTTTTTAATATTTCAATGCATGAGTTTTTTAACTGTTAGAAAAAATGCCAGATTTTAATTGAAATAATAGCCATTATAAATCGAGAACAAACTCGAGCCACCTGTACTAGCTTCAGCGTTTCTAATGGNCCTTACCCGTTTGAATTTCTCTCGTACCAACATTTCATGTTCTGTTAACCGTTCGAAAAGCGTCGGTTAATTACAGTTCTTCTGTTTGAATTTTTTTTAATATTTCAATGCATGAGTTTTTTAACTGTTAGAAAAAATGCCAGATTTTAATTGAAATAATAGCCATTATAAATCGAGAACAAACTCGAGCCACCTGTACTAGCTTTACACGAGATGGATTGTTGACTGTAGATGACGCCACAAGATTATTTATTAGTCAAAAGATACAAATCGATAGAAATAAATTCAATGCCTATATATCTAACACAACACAACATGCAGTAACCGATAAAAATTCTCTCTTTTGAAATGAAATCATATCAATAGAAAAAAAAACACAATCAAAAAGTGGTATAAAAAGGATACATCGTCTGAATCGATAGTCTTTTTTAGTAAGTTTGGCTAACAATCAGTTTTGTGAAAAAACAAATTATATGAACTATTTTAATTCTACTATTGTAGACTAATATCCTGATTTTATGGATCTTCTCTGGGCCGACCACACTCTATACACTGATTGGTTTAATTGACACAACACATTTAAACGAGTGTGGTTGTCGTGCGGTGTCGCTAATTCGATGTAGTATCCTATATTCTGACATATATTTCCATAAAATGATTCATTATATGTAGTCCTTATTGGCGTAGATTAGAGAAGGAGGTCATACAATAAACTTCTACTGATTGCGTGTCTTCTTTTTTACTCAATAATAATAACCTTGAGACGAAATAGAACAGTGCAGCAAAGAATATAAAATATAATATTGTTCAAAGCTAACAAATAATTTCAAATCTTATCAGATATGTAACTTCAATGAATATTAAGAATAATATCTCTACGTTAGATAATGCTAAATTAACAGTTAGTGCAAAAGTTTTACTTTGATATAATGTTACGCTTGAATATCATGAGAGATTGATCTGTCTTGTGTTCAATAGAACCAATGTGTCAAGCATTAAAACATATAAAAGATTATCATCGGAAAACTATTCCACAACGTTTTTAGCTTAACAAAACAAATCTTCATTCAATAGGAAAGTTTATTGTTTTATTCATTTCTTCAAAATTTTTATAATGTAACGATAGAACACTATTGTTGCGCAAAAGAAAGGAAATTTCCTACGTGCTTCATAACAGTTCAAATAAACAATTTTATAATATCCTGTAGTATCATTGATTTTTCATTATTGTCAGTCTCTTCTATGAAACAATATTATTCAAGATAGAGCACAGTGTCTCTTTTAAGATATTCAGACAAGAATGTGTTCTCATATTGTCAGCATTAAAATAAATTTCTCTAATCAAACTTTTATTATGTAATCTCCTACACGTCAAAATGATTATCTCAGTGTCATAGGAAATTATTTTTGGTAATGAACAACTCTATATAATGCTCAAAAGTGATTAAAAAAAACTTGCAACCAAAGTTACCGAAGAATTTTTTAATGTCTTATATTCTAAGACTTTTCTGACATTCAAAAAAAAAAAAAAACATTACTAGTCAAAGTATTTGATCATTATCGTTCGAGATATTTTCTCTTCTCTATCGTCATATATTAATAATGGTTTTTTTTTCTAATTTGTTTTAATATGAAAGAACAAATATAATAGATTGAATTCTTTCTAAATAGAAACACTATTCATAGAACATTTTTTTTTAACCCTAATAAAATGTTGAACCATTCAACATTACTGACAGCTGTCAAGACAAGATATGTAGATGAAAAATGCACGCAAAATGCTTATCATTAATTTTCTTTTTGTACTCAAATGCTTTCCAAAAATTATCGATTAGATCAAATAGTTCAAATTTTACATTCCGATCTTCAATATATATATACAGTAAATTTTTCAAGACTAATATATATAACTTTATATATTTTAAGTTAAATCTGTACAATAGATTAAATCCGAAAATTTCTCATTTTCAAATGACTATTCTAATTGCAAACGTTTTTTGGCCAATCAAGAAAAAATGTTCGCAAAGTAGAATCGAAGAGAGAGAGAGAACAATGACTGTTCTGTAGAACCAAAACAAAATGTACTATGTGGAAAAAAATCAATAACGAAACATAATTGTATATTTTATTTTTATTAGATTCATAATCAAGATCATCTTTTGTCAGTTATATCGAATAGATTGATATATCAATAACAAAAAGAACATAATCTCTTTTGATATATCTTATCTAGACCGAAATCATTAGATGCACTAGAACATGAAAAGTTAATTGACCATGATATCCTGCTACTTGGTTAGATTCTAATGAGGTCGATTGAACTCCAAAATGAGGGAAGAAATAGATCATCTTTAATATATGCACGAAGAATATAATCAGTTAATTTAAACTTCCTTAAAAAAGTCAATATTTGTCAGAATAATGGAAATAAAGATGATAGCTCGAGATCTGATATTTCATAAACGATATGAGTTTTTTACTTGACATGTCATTGATGATTTCTGTTAATTTCTACTTCGAAACAAAAATTCTTTTTTTCAGAAAAGACGGCAATTTTTTTTTCGTCTTCTTTCTCTATTGATGCTTTTTCTAATCGTGCATGTCAGAATTTTCGAGAGAACTTCGTTGTACGTTTTTTTTGTTTGACAAATCATGTGAAGCTGCAGTGTGCATTTTTTAAATTAAGCTTTCTTATTATTATATAAAAAAGCACTACTATAAATAGATGACTATTTTTTGAGGTATTATATTCCTCATCCTTTTTCTTCGCATAAAAAGAAAAAATTTTAAAAAAGGATGTTGCAGTCTAACATACTCTTTCAAATAAAAAAAAACAATTATGAAGGTTCGCAAAGAATAGATGAGCTATTTTTGATCTCTTGTGGTTGAATATCTTTCATAAACGTCATGTTATAACGTTGAAAATTTTATGCGATTTGAGTGCATCTGACTCAAAATCCGTTGTTTTGTAGGCAGGCCTAAACAAAATGTTGGATTAATTTCTCTTAGATCGAGCTATCTAAACTAATCATCTTATTATATATAGCCACATATGTTCGCATGTTTCCGTAATGCATACATTTTTCTTCCTCTCATCTCTGCAATTCCGCTTTGCGAATATTTTTTATCTTTCTCTCCCCTCTCCTGCTTTCCGGACATTTTTTTCCGTCAAATTAAAGAAAAATGTCCTCAATCAAGAAGTCAAGGATTACGAAATTAAAATCTATTCAATAATCATATTCATCTTATGTAATAATTAATTGTAGATAGAGTTAATCTGCGAGTATGTTCAATAAAAATTGTATTTAAAAATTAGACGAAAACAAAAAAAAAAAGAATAGTTCTGTTGGTTTTCACACACACGCATACACAAATGTCTTTCTTTTTTTTTTTTTTTTTACACAAGTTGGACTGGTGCAACATCACCTTTTTTTTCTTCAAAAGTACATACATATTCAAAACAAGAAGAAAAAAAATACGAACAATAACTAAAAACAGAGATGAGCAAAAACGACAAAATCAAACAGAAAAGAAAACATTTCTTGCTTCTTTTTCTTTTTTCAGTTTCAATCATTTTTCATACATGGTATGTAAATGATACTAAGACTACCAATGATAAATAAACGAATAAATAAATGTAAAAGAATAATTACAAACAAATAAACAATAGACAAAAAAGGAAAACAATAAATAAAATAAAATCATGTTGGTTTGTCTTGTTGTTGTGGTCTTACTGTTGTTTGTAATGGAGTAGTTGGCATTTGAGAAGATAAGTGAGTTCGAAAAAATGCTCCTTTTTGATCTAAAAAAAAAGAAAACAAAAAATTAATTTCTAGTTAAAATTTCTTATTATTTTACTGCAATCAAGATTTGCTGATAATGAATTGTGTCCTGTTGCTCCAGATAAATCTTTTCCACCAGCCGGTTTTTGTCGTCCTTGTATTGTATTTTGTAATTGTTTACGTACAAATTCACTAGTTGATCGAACAGGTTGAAAACTATTAAGAAAAACAAAAAGAATAAAATCTTGAGAAAAAGAAAACAAAAAAAAAAAGTTTTATGATTTAATTTACCTCAAACAGTTCATCATCTGATTATTGAGTTCTTCTGATTGACGACATTCAGCAGGCGTTAAATTAGATATCGATGGATTCATGAGATTATTTGAATCTAGATTATATAAATCTATTGATTAAATAATTGAATCAAAAAGAAAACAAATAATAATAATACATACTATGTGAATTTTGTTGTATAGTTGCCGAAAGAGCTACACTCATATTAGAATATTGCTAAAACAATAAAAAAAAATAAATAAAGAATTATTAAATGAAACTTAATATTTCTTCGATACCTATCGCTAATTTTTGATTTCGATCTTATCGTGTATAACTTAGTTGTGGAAGTAATAAGAGAATCATTTCCCTTTTTTTCTCTCTCTTCTATTAGATGAGCTCATTTGTTCTATATATTTCTTCAAGCAGTGTCAAGGTCTTCTTGTCCAATATGTCATATGAAGCAAAAAAGAAGAGAAGAAGTGTTGCCTTGAACTTAGAAGCACAAACGAGAATGAAAGAATAGAAATTGGAGGACATCCGCCAATGAATGCGAATAGTGCTTCTCTTTTTTTTTTTTTTACATTCTATGTCAGTTACTCAATCCTGATCATGTACACGATCATTAGACCAGAGAAGAGATGAAGAAAAAAAAAAAAAAGAAGAAGAGAGAGAACGGAAGAAGAACGAACTATTTCTTATGTTCAATTAATCGAATTTCTTAGCAAACAGATGACCGACTTTTTCTCTCTACGTCATGAAGACAAACTCAAAGACTACATCTTTATTATTTATTTGATATATGCATACGATCATTACTAATATCGTGCTAATAGAAGCAAGTAAATATTATGTGAACAATTGATTAACCCGAATTCGTGATCTCTTTTTCTTGTTCAACAACTACCTTGACCTCTTTTATTTATTCTCTCTTGAGCGTATATCAAAGATGAATATGAACAGATTATATTGAATATTTACTATTATATAATCATGACTTCCTCAAGAAAAATTGGAATCATATGACATTTAAATATAAACTTTTATCTTTTCATTACATTTCTTTTTCTGTTCTCTTGGTGTTATTTCTTGATTCTAGGTTATATTAATCAGAAATAGGACCTTGAAATTGTCAAGAAACAAACAAAGAAATATTTCTTTTTCTGGAGCCTTGAATAGAAACATAATAGAAAGAGAGAGAGAGGGAGAGAAAGAAAAACGGAGAAAAGCAGTACGAATGGTTTTTTTTTGTCTCTCGCATTTTCTCTTCATCTATTTTACGTCATAACGAGATTATGGTACTCACTAGAACAGACATTTACACTTTTCTTTTTTTTTATCAGGTATATATTTATTCAAAATAATATTTCTTTTTTTTTTTTTATCTTCGACTCATTCTAATCAAGATATGAATACCCAAATATAGAAAAATTCTTTGTACGTAGTTGGTCTTGGAAGAAGGAAGAAAAAAAATGAGTGTATCTCATTAATCACAATAATGACCTGCTAACATTTCATAGATAATATACGCAGTACGTCTCGGTAAGTCATACCAATCTAAAACAATACTGACTCAGTTATTTCTTTTTTTTTTCCTCTTTATTTATAAGATACATGTTTTTCTTTATTTTTCCATTCTTTTTTAAAGGACGTAAATATGTTGTTAATAAGTATTATTTATTGATCTGTCATTCGATAACAGACAAGGTAAAAATAAATGAGTCGTCATAACTTTTATATTAGACACATAACACAACCTTTGTCGTTTTATTTTTGTAATGCAAGATAATCAGTCAAACACAAAAGAGAAACGGCTTTTATTTTATATTCTATTAGTGTTATAGTAGATTGAATGTGTGTTGTTTTTTGATTTATTTTCTTTTTTTAGAATAACGAATGATAACAATGATTAATATATTAAAAATCAATTTGTTGTGTTTTTTTTATTCTGTCATCTTATATCCAGACACCACTTGTAATTCAATGTCTGAGCACTTTCAATAGTCGAATGCCAATAATAAAAGGTAAGCGTAGAGTAAGAGGAGAAAAATGTACTTTGGACGCGCTTGTTTCTGCTTATTTTTATTTATGTCCTTGAGATTGAAAATTCATATCTTTTTATATTATTAATGTGTTACATAACATTTTCAAAAAGAAAAACAGTAGAATTTTGTTTTATAACAGATTATAAAGTCGTAATATGTAATTTTTATATTGTTTATATTAGCAAGTAAACCTTCGATTAGATAAGAAATAGAAAAACAACTCAATTTGATGCTAGACAAGTTATCTATTTACTATTTTTCTTTATATATTATTCTGTTATTAACGATACATGAAAAAAAAATCGTTTTTTTATTATTTCTAGAAGTCATATTTCATTATTTGTAGTTAACTAAATATATGTTACTTTATATTTATTTAATACATCATCTGTCTTATAAGAGAAAGACATGAATTTATGTTTTTTTTTACTTTATGCCATTCTTAAAATATCTAATTTTATTATGCTAAGTTTCCTATATACATCGTTTTATTAATTGATCTTTATTATGCATATTAGTTTGGTCAAATAGTCTCGTGTTTTATTTAAAACATGCAAGACTTATAATTTGATCTGACGTCATTATATAAGGATTCTTGTGAGTATGACAAAAAAAGGAAATAGAATAAGATGATTGATGATTCAGAAAATTTTCTTATTAAGAATAACAAAAGAAAAGAATACGATCAAATAAAGGTTATTATAACATACATCTTTTTTTTGTCGATTCATATTTTATGAGTAATATTATTAATCACTAAGATTCAATATAATATCAAGTTTCCTATTTATAGACAATTCATTTCTATATATGAAAGAAAGAAAAAAAACCATGTAATTTACATATGGTTTTTCATTATGTAATATAATCTATTTTGTAGATTAAAAAACAAAAGATAACTAGTTATTAAGTGTAGATAAATAATAGTAATTAATATTAAATCGGAAATTAAAAGTTTAAATAACTATTAAGAGAATAAATTTAAGGTAGAAATTAAATGAATCAGATTAGTTATATTTGAAAAAGATATTGACTTTCATTCTGAAGAAATGTCTATGTCTCATTTATTTTTTCACGTATGACTTCAATACGTTATCAGGTCGGATTTAATCATCAAAATTTCTTCGTTACAAGATCTAAGCGAATGAGATTTGCACATTGTACAATGATTTCATTATATTACAATATACTGATTAGCATATATTAATGCTATTAGTTGATCGAATAGTACAGCTAAGTAGATTTAATACATTTAATATCTACACGCGTCATTACAATCAAGGTTTTTCTTCTGATTTTTTTGTTTGTATACACGTTGTAACACGTGTATGTATTCAGGTAGCAAAAACTAGTTTAATTTGTGTATTGATCACATTGTTAGATTTATTGCTTGTTTTTTAAAAATATACCTGATGCATTGCAGCTTGCGGATGTGAAGGAGGCAGAGATGATGGGGGTGGTGGCAGAGGTTGTTGATGTTGAATGACATTCATATGACGATTTTGCATGGATTGTTGTCCCATATTTGATGATTGTGACATAAAATGATCAGAGTTATAGGGAAGATCAAATGGATTATTATTTGAATATTGATGATAATCTTGTTGTAATGGTGGAATATTGCTATTTGGCATGATTAAATCATTATATGGATTCATCATGGCTAAATAGATTAAATCGAAATTAACAATTTTCTTTCCTCAAGTTTGTTTGTTTTTTTGTAAAACATACGTCGATGTGTTATTTGTTGTTGTTGTTGTTGTTGTTGTTGATTTGTAATCATCTAAAGAGAAAAAAATAATAAATTTGATAAATAGAATTTAGAACAGTTTATTTTTACATGTGGTAAAGTAACATTCATAGACATATGGAACTGAACTTGTTGTTGATGCGCTGAAGCTCTTTGTTGTTGTTGTTGTTGTTGCATTAGTGTTTGTCTTTTTGCTATTGATGCTGGATGATGATGATTAGCAGATGATATTCGTTGTTGTTGTTGTTGTTGTTGTTGACTTGCTGATGGTAGTGGCATTGAATAATAACCAGCAGGAACTTGATTTGATGGTGATGGTTGAATATAATTATTATACATTGATTGTTGTTGTTGTTGTTGTTGTTGTTGCAGTTGTTGTTGCTGTTGTTGTTGCTGTTGTTGTTGTGGCGTTTGACGATAAAGATGATTTGGTGTTTGTCGATGTTGAATATGTGCATCTGGTTGTTGAGGATACATCATCATTGAATTTGTATTCATAAGGGTTGGTGTTGGTTGTGATGAATAAGAATTAGTCATAGGTGATAATGTTACATTTGGAGGAAATGAACCACTATTATCAAGTAGATCCATTGAAAGACAATCAGTAAATTGAGTATTCTAAAAATGTAAAAAGAAAAATAAAGAAATTTAGTGAAAATTAAAGTTTTTTATTACATTTATTGAATATGGAAATGTTGATGAAGGTGGTGGAACAGATGATTGACAATAAATTGATGTTAATGGATCATGATTAACTGTTCGATTTGATGGGATTGGATTCGTATTTTCAGTAAAAAGAAAGTCACCGGTAATAGAATCTTAAAAGAAAGAAATAATAATAAATGAAAAATTATTTGTTTTTTTTTTTTTTTCTAATATAAAAAGTTTTCTTACTAGAAGAAGAATTATTATCAACAGATAAAGGATCCATAGATGATGATGATGATGATGATTGTTGTGATGAACCTAAAGAAAAAATAAATAAATAGATTGAATAAAATATTTTTCTTTTTGATTTACCGGGATTAAATGAAGTAACAAGTGTTTTATAAATTTCACTAATAGCTTTTTCATCTTTTTCACTACGCTTAGTTATTGTTGTTGCTGTTGGACATGATTGTTCAATAAGACTTGATGAATTTTGTGATAATATTGAATCAATTGCTGTTGAATCATTTAAACATTCAAGAAAATCTTTATTTTCTAATAATGATAGAAAATCATCATTTGAATTATTTCCCAGTGTTGTTGAATTAAGTAATTCATTAGCTATAGCTGTTATACGATTATTATCATTTATTGTTTGTTGTTTATTTGTTGGTATAAATGATATTTCATTAGGTTTTTGAGGATCAGAATTTAATAATTCTGTCAAATAATCATCTTTAGATGAATTATTATTATTATTATTATTTGTTATTGATGGTTGAGATAAAACAGGTGATAAATATTGTTCAAATGGATCAAATGAATTATTCATTGATGATTGACCGGAAAAAAATGAATTATCATTTGATAATGTTGTTGTTGTGTCAAAATGTTCTAATAAATCATACAAAGGTCCATCTTTTTTTGTTATTATTGATGGAGGTTGTGATGTACGAATTGATGTACGTAATAATGATGATTGTGTATTAGATGTTGATGATGAATTTATATTATTAGATAGCATTGTTCGACATATTTGAGTTTGTGATAATGGTGAATTTAGATTATGTTCATATTGTTGAGGCTCACTTTTAATTATTGATTGAGATGACTAAAAAAAATTTTATAAACAAATATTTATAAAGAATAAATTTATTGTGAAAATTACAGATCAATTTGTTTTTCCTATTCTAAGATACAACTATGTTAAAAGCACATGTTTAACTTCGTTCCTATACATTCAGATATTCTTATTTCAGAATAGAAGCAATCAAAAACCAAACTTAAAACTTTTATACTAAACTATTCTTGTTAAGTTTTGTCTGTGTGTAAAATTTCAAGTAGAAATTCGAAACTTAGTTTCTATGGATGACCATAGTATTGTACTAAAAACTACTCTCAAAATGCAATAACCTAAACCTTTTTGCAGGGTATTCTCAATATGTTACATATATATGTTAAGTTACTTTAGATATTATGAAAAACTTAGCACTAGAGAGATGTTTCTTCAGATGAATTATCAGTAAATAAGATAGAATGTTTGAAAACTAAATAGTACAAATAATTATCATCTGAAAGAGTTTTATACGTTTATTTTAAAAAAATTTATTCAGAAAAATAATCCTGGTCAAAAATTAAACTCAATTGAATGTAGAATATGTTCAGTTTTCTCTGAAACGACCCATATATATATATATTGAAATATTTTTCTTTTTAAACTAACCTGACTAAGTAATTTCGTAGCGGCAATTGCCGTTGATGGTGAAATATCTTGACATTCAATTTTTAAATCTTTTTGAAGTGCTTCTGTTAATAATTTCGGACATTTTCTTGGCACTTGTAAATGTTCATCATTATCAGATGAACGTTTTAAATTCATTGTTGTTATATTTGATGTTTGTCTTGTTGTACGACGATTTAAATTAGGTGATCTTGGTGTTATTGGTTGATCAAGATTTGCTGATGAATCTAATAGACTATCAAGAGATCCATCTGATAATGTTGATTGTGGTGTTTGAATATGAGTTGTTGTTAAAAGATATTCTGTTGGCTAAAAGAAATATTTGAAATTGTCTTTTTTGTTTTCGTTAAAGTATAGAAAAAAAAAATAATGTTTACATTTCGTTTTGGTCTACCAGGTTTTCTTGGCATGGGATTATTTTGATTAGAAAAATTAGTTGAATTTTGTCGTGGTTTTTTCTTTGTTTTAACATCAGATATATCTGATAATTGAGTTTTTAACGTTAAACGTGTATTATTAACATTATTATTTTTGGTTTTATTATTTTCAACTAATACATTTGTATTATTTGTTGAATATTGATGTGTTACTTGCCGTGCACCTATTGCAAATGGTGTCTCGACAACAACTTTTTGTGGACGTACTTCATCTTTAAGTAATGTCTGAAGATAAAATTAAAATAATACATGTAAACATCTATGAATTTAAATAATTTAGTATGAATCGATAGAAGATTGCATATTAAATTTTTTGAAAGTTTATGATACTGTTGTTGTCCAAGAGCGAAAGGTTCGGAAATAAAATCTGATACGATTTTTTTGTTCTTATTGTAGATTCGAAATTTTTGTTTTTAAAAGTCAGACTCATTCTAGTAGTATAGACTTCACAAAGATCTTTTGTGATGTTTTGAGGATTTTTACGTTAAAAATTCTTTTTAAAAATGTGAAAAAAAGATATCAAACACTGAAGAATTTCATAGAGAATCTTATAGTATGTTTAACAGCTTCTTTTTCTTTGTCATCGTTATTTGACTGACAAGAAAATCTCTGCAAATGTATCCTTTTGATTTTAATGATTTGTCTGCCTATAGATACTACATAGTGTTCTAATCAAAATCAATAAAAAAGAATTCGGTTTTAATTCGATTTTATTGAGATTCGCAAAGCTCTAGGCTAACCTATCGAATTTTTAGAAATGTTTATGGTTTTTGAAAAACTCGTACTTTCAAATTTTAATCCTAAACTTTACATGTATAGAGAACTCAACTAGAAACGAAATTACAAGTTTTGTATCGAGTCTCTTCGAGGTATGAGACTTTCAAGATATCGATCCTTTTCCATGGATATGTATTTTTCAAAAGCTCCATATCTCGAAGAGACTTTGTTGAAAACTTACCTAGGACTTCTAGAATGAAATCCGATAGCTTAGTTAAAACTCAATAGAAACCGAAAGGATTTTTTAATTTGAATACTACGTAATATTTATAGGCACAAAAAAAAAGAGAATCATTGAAATCGAAAGAGGAACTTTAAGAACGTGTCCTTCTGAGTATCTTTTAATTTGGTAATTTCTCAAAAGATGAAATAAACGTCTAACATTATTTTTCTATAAATCATTAAAAATAAAATTGAATAATTTACTCGAAGAAAAATATCGCTACGTTGTTTATTTGTTGTTTGTCCACTTGATGAACTATCATCACTATGATTTGATTCTGTTTTAATAGGTGATGTTGAAAATGAATTTTGTCTTCCTAAAATTTTTTTAAGTAATACATCAGTTGAATTATTTTGTTCATTTAAAGTCGAACTATTTTTTCGTCGACGTTTTGCTGTTGCTGTTGTTGATGATGATGATAATTCTGTTGTTAATGGTGATACATGTGTTGTTGTTGGACTTTCTGGTCCTTGTATAAAATCTTCAAGTTTAGCATCAGGAAGATAATGTAATGTTTGTGATGGATTTTCATTTGTTGGTGGAGATTTATTTGTTAATAATTGTCTTAAACGTGTTGAACCACGTGATAAATTTTGCGTTGATGGTGATGCTAAATGTGATTTTGGACTTGATGATGTTGTATATATATCATTATTAGAAAAAAAAGGTGATGAAGTTTTTGGATTTGTTGGTGATAATAAAAATGAATTTAAATCATTCGAATTTGTTGGTACTGATGTTGGCGAAGAAAAAAATATATCAAATGTATTAACAGGTGATGAGAGACTACCATGATTGGAATGTACTAAATTATTATAACAAAACAAAACAAAAAATACAAAATAATGATAGTTTTTTTTTTTCTTCTTTTATTAAAGAATTTTACCAGAGCCTAATGAAGGACTAAATGATGTTCGTTTACTACCAAATTCAACGGTATCTGATGAAGTAACATCTATATGAATAAGAAAATAAGAAGATGGATGTTTTCTTTGAATAAATGGTTTTTTTTTAATACTTTCAAGCGTAGATGATTTTTGAGGATTTAATCGATTTTGTATTGGTGAAGGTGATGGTGTTGGCGGATGCTGTTGTTGGGATTGAATTTTCTCATTCGGGCTATTAATTGTTGATGTTGATAATGAATTTTGTACTTGTATTAGTGTACCTAATGTACTAGATACATGCTGTTGTAAAGAACTTGATGCATGTTGATTTGCTCCTAACATAGTTAAAGCAAATTGTGTACCGATTGGTGTTGTTGGTGATGCTGTCATTGTTTTATTTGATGATTGTTGTTGTTGTTGTTGTTTATTTCGTTGCAAATCACGATTTGATGAAATAATAGATTTCATTAAACGTGCTGGTGCATTACCATTTAAATCATGAATATTTTCAATTAAACTAAATAATAATAAAATGAAGAAAAACAATTTTTTTCTAATGTTTTGCTTACCGAACAATTGTGTGTGTTGATAGTATAGAATCGGATTTATTAGCTGTTGAATTATGAAATAATTTACTTCGTGTATTTATAAATGCATATATATTATCATGAAGACAAAAACGATATACAGAACTTTTTCCTTCACCTTTTTCAATAACTACAAAAAGAATCAAAATAATGAAAAGAAGTTTTTGAATATGATTCTATTTATAAGTGATAGAGTTTTTACGCTTACAAGGAAATCTCTTCAAATATCATACTGAAACAATGTTCATTTGATTAGTAATATAAATGTTTGGAATGGTTTAGTTATTAGTTGATTACGTAAGTTTTAACGCTTCTAGTATTTTCCATCCTGAAATATTTCGAAATCTTCCCATCTGTAAAAGCAAATTTTATGTATCTCCGCAAAGGAAGTACTAGAAAAGCTATAATTTATACAATGAACTAATCTAATTGAGAACTTTATTCATGTAAAATTCGAAGTTGAAAGTCGAGTTTTTGTGTAAGATTTCGATATCTCAAAAACAAAGGCCTGGAGAACTAAACTATTCTAGACTTTTCTGTTACTCAACAAATGAACATCCGTGGGCGTAATCAGGAGTCTCCTATGGGATTTTCACATCAGCAGAAAAATAATTTTCTGTCTCCTAAAAAGAATATTTTTTTTGCCAAAAGAGATGCACAGACATTGCTTGCACCTCCTCCTTCGGCTACGCCCCCATAAACTTTCTCTCAGTTAAAAAGTGATTTGAGATTCTGTCGTCAAATATCTCAAAATAATTTTACTATTGTTATCCTGAAGTTATATGTTGTAAGTGAAAATCCTTTGAATAAAAGTTATCACTTTTTTTTCCTAAAGATTGCTGAAAGAGACTGAACTTAGTGCGTTTCTTTTTTGTGTTACAAAGAAAGTAAAAATTTCAATGCCTCCGGTGACAATTACTGTCATGAGTTCTAACGCCAGCTTATGTTGAACAACGACGCAAAAAGTGAATATACGGATAAGATTCAGTAATTTTATTATTTTTTTTACTAGTATCATACAAAATATGATGAAGTTCCTTAATCATGATAGGCAAGAATTTTGTCGAGTAATTTTTAGTTCTTCGGCGTTCTCCTGTAAAGATTCTATTTGCTCTATAATAAAAAAAAACCAAAATGCTAATGATACTTCCAAGTCCATAGTGCGTCTAGGATTTTGGAAGAGAAAAGGTGACGTGGTTCCTAAGAAAAGCAAATTTTTTTTTTTTTTATTTATTTCTGATTCATCTATTTGTATATTTTTTTTCTTATCTTCATTATGAGTATGAAATGTACATAGACACAACAATAAATGTGCGTCTTGCTTCTTTTTGGTAAGATGTCGGTAATTTAAATTTTCTTGTTTTTTTTTTTTTTGTACGCATAATTTAATAAAAAACGTGACTGATTGACGATGACAAACGAATTTTGAATATTAATGAAAAATTTTTTTTTCATATTGACAGGAAAAAAGCACAAGCGTTATTATGATGTTAGAGAATGTTTGTGTTGACAGAACAAGTGTTACCAAGTATATATTAATACACAGGTCAAGTTGACTTGAACTGAAAAAAACATCTTGACATCAGTCGTACGCCGGAATTATGCTCATGTGTGATTTTTTTTGTAGTTCACTGAGGAAGTCATCTATTGTTCGTGTTTAATCTATCACGTGATTAACTGTTAAACTATGCATCGTAGATTTTTTCCTCGATGTTGTTTCCTTGCTGAGAAATTTGATTTTTTTTTGTTTTAAATCTTTCGTTCTAATACCTAGAATTCTGCTCTTAAGTTTTTAATTTTCTTTATATCAACAGATATTTTGTATGATAAAACCGCAATAGTAAAAAGCAATGTAAATCGATTGATGTTATCTTGATAAATTTTTATCGTCTTTTATCATGAAAATTTCAGACATCGTTTATTGTTTGTTTTTTGTTGTAGGTAAAAATTCGAAAAAGTCAAAAATTTCCAGACAACCATAAAAAAAATACATCAATCGGACTTAGGCTTTTTTGTTTTTATGAACAAGATTCAAAATTACGGAATAGAAATCTAACTTTTTCATTGAAAAAATCGGTGACTTCCTCATTGAACTTCATAAAGAATGCAAAAGAATTGCTACGGCTTGGTACCAATATAAAGAGGTTTTTCAGATTAAAATCACTTTAATTTCTTATCTATACTACTTTTGGAACATTTTATTCGAGAAATACAAATATTCTTAGAAGTTAATAAGAAGAAAAAGAAAGTTCTTGCATATTTTCATTACGATTTTGTTTTTCCTGCAAAATCAAATGAAGATATTTTTCAAGTTTTTCGATGGTACTTTTCTTTCGATATGAAAGGCGTATCCATCAATATTAAGAATTAGTTTGTCATTATAATCAACTTATACTCTATCAAGCAAAACAAATAGATTTCGAACTTCGGACTAGTAGCAACGTACTGTAAGAAATCATTTTTATTCCATCTTAAAAATTAAGAAATTCAGTAAAAATATCTTTTTTTTTTTTCTGTCTGCTAGATAATTCTATAGTCTTAATTGCCACGTTTACAACAACAAATTAAAAGGATTTTTTTTATCCTCCATTAAGAATGTTGGCGTTTTAAAAACAGTTCGTAATGCATACTTTGACCTATTCATAAAAATACTTTCCGACCATAATTATATGACTAAGATACTTCAATACAATTGTTCTTAAGATACTGATCTTCTGTTTAAAATATAACATAACGTCTGAACAATAAAAAGATTAAAAAAACATACTGCTTATGTTCAAAATGAAAAGAAACTTCTTTTGTTTCATATTCTTTTTAAAGTCATATAGAATACTTCAGTACCAGAGACCGAAACGAACCGAACTTTTCTGGTTCGAGTTCGGTTCGGTTCGATTGAATTTTTAAAAATCGGTTCGGGCTCGGTTCGGTTCGATTCAGTTTTTTTAAATTCAGTTCGAGTTCGGTTCGGTTCGATTCGTTTTTCAAAATATCGGCTCGAGTTCGGTTCGGATCGACGCGAACCGAACCGAACCACCAGAGTTCGGATCGGGTCGGCAAAAATAGTTAATAAAAGCNAAATACACGGTTATTCTTTCTTTCAATGTAGAATAATGTTATCTTCAGGTGGTATTTTATGAAATCTACGCATTCACTTACAAAGAATAGTTTCTCAAAGTAAAAGGTCGTAATACTTAAAATGTAATGATATATAGTAGTACAAAGGTGAAAACAAATTGCGCCCTAGGCTAGGATTCGACTGTTGCTTATCATTATTGTATTGACGTTTTTTTTTTCGAATTTTGCTTATGTAAAAATGAAACTGTCAATGATTAATACATAAAATTAATCCCTTGTCACGTTTTTATTTTATCGTTTTATTGACATATGCGTTATATATTTAAGACTTCGAATAAAAAAAAGCAATCAAAATAAGCCACGATAGTTTTCATGATTATTTAAGATTCTGAATTTTAATTAAAAAAAAATACCGAACTTATTTAGGTACTTACTGTCCCCATAGTTTTTTCAGACATCGTTCTTTTTCACTTCCACTTTCGTCAAAAAAAAAATCGAATCATAGTCACACGGTTTTACTAAAAAAATAGTGAAGACTAATAGTCAGCTGTTGTTTCGTTCGATTCTGTTTTTCTTTGGATTATTTTTTTCTCTCTTATTGTAGACATATATATATTTTTTATTTGTCTATGTATTCATACCTGATCCAACTACGAGTTGAGATTAATACTGATTTCAATGGTCCGAATGAACGATTGTGAATATAATCAATCATCATGGGTACAATTATCGCCTTTTGTTCATCAAGTAGAAAAGAAAACAAATTGTCTATCATTAGACATCATTTTTTTGTGCTTTATTTATTTTCTATAGGTTGGCGGTCATTCATCCATGTTTCAATATGATAAAAATACACTTTGTAAATTACTTGCACCACCTGAATTAGATTTTTATCAATCAATACCTGATTCATTAAAAAAGTTTACACCAGAATTTCGCGGTTGAAGATTTTTATTTATAATTTATTTTGAAAATTTTTCGTGAAAATTTTTTTATAGGTATTGTTACAGTTCAATATTGTGAAGATGAATCAGGTTATATCAAACTTGTTGCTCGACCACAAACAACTTCATTAGAAAATGAATCTATATCAAATGAGCAAGATATATCTTTAACAAATGATCAACAATCATCTGATAATATTTCACGAAAATCAGTACAGTTCGTATCAAATAAAAAAAAAATAAAATTCTTTTTTTTTCTTACAAATAAATAAATATACATAATTTTATAGATTACGTTGTTCAAAAGATGGATCAATTGATTATTCAAATAGTTTAGGTGTTGATATTGCTAATTATGAACAAGGAAAAATTACAATGTCAGTTATTAATCCTTGGAGTTTACAATTATGTAAAAAACAAGCAGAAAAATTACATCAACAATTCATTGGCGATGAAAATGTAACTGTTTCACAGAGTAAGAACATTTACAAATATTATATTGTTATTATTTTTTTCTATAAAGAAACAAATAATGTATCAAAAGAGAATAGTGCCTTCGTATGATCAACAAAAACAAATTGAATAAGATATTCTGAAAATCATGAGATCTAATGATGGACAATATATCAGGTCAAAATTTTAACTGGTCTTGATTATAGAAGAAAGGTCACAGGTTTCTCTTGTTCACGACTTCAATGTTATTACGTTGTCTCTATGTTTGAGTACGATAAGAATCTATTTAAAATAAGAAATGTCAAGAGAAAAATAATTGAATTTTCCCGAATGATTCGATCTGGCGTATGATCGAGAATTTAAACATTTTGCAATATGAGAACAATTAAGAATGTCACGAGGTCGCCAAAATTGTGAAAGAGAGTAGATGACTAACGAGGAAAATTCTTCAACTGTTTAATTGCTTTTGAACGACGACTATGTGTATTATGTGATTATAAAGGAGTTTTGAATGTCATGAAAAGAGTTCATGCTCTTAGCTTATTACGACGGAAATAATGCACTTTTACGGTATTTTTTAAAATGAATGTCTTGATAACAGAATAACTAATTCTGGAAGTTCGACTTAAAAGTTTGCATAGAGATAGGCATTAACAAAAGTAATTTACTGTGAAAGTTTCAGGTCTTTTGACTTTGCTTCTATCTTGAACAAGAATATCAAATCTACTGATTTATATCTGTGATGTAAAAGACATGCTGTTATCATAATTATAGCTTAGGATGGAAACAGCAACAAAAATCTGAAACTCACAAAAACTTATTCTTGTTAAAGCCTGTCTCCATGAAAACTTTCAAATCGAAACTCGAAAACCAGTTTCTTTTTTTGTTATCACGAAATTCATTTAAAATAGATTTCAAAAGTGCAGTATCTTCAACGCACTAAGCTAAAGGCACGAGTTCTTTTCAGGGTATTCATAATTCATTTGAATCTACATAATGCAGACAGTCTTGATTAAAAGGTGATTGAAGAATTGGAGAACTTCCATCGATAGAATGCCGCTTCGAAGATTTTTTTTCTAAAGTTAACTGAATTTTGGAAACTGGTGAGCAAAAGAAAATAATAAAAAGCTGAAGAAAAACGAAAACTTTTCAAGATCGAAAGATTGTCCCGTGACCCCTAACTTCTCCACTCGAGACACACCTGAGAAAAAGGTCACTATTTAATCAAAGTAACAGATTAAATGAAACAAAAGAAACAAGCAAATAGAAAAGAAAGTGCCGAGACGAATTGACTAAATCAAACTTTTGTATTCAGAATATATCTCTTATGTGATATTTTATTTACTAAAAATAATAGTTATAACTAATAATTAATAAAAGAATTTTTTAAAATATTTTAGAATATATATTATTAGAAAATGTAACAGCACGATTTCATAATCCTTGTATACTTGATTTAAAAATGGGTAAAAGACAACATGCTGATATTGATTCAGATAAAAAACGTCAATCAAAAATACAAAAATGTGAATTATCAACATCATCAAAATTAGGTGTTCGTTTATGTGGTATGCAGGTAATATTAGCATAATAAAAAAAAAACGGGCAATACTATAGAATATTTTTATCAATAGGTTTATCAAATAGATAATAGTCGATATAAATTTACAGATAAATATCGAGGTCGAATGTTAACTGTTGATGAATTTCGTTCATCATTAGTACAATATTTTGATAATGGTCGTACACAACGTTTTGATGTTGTACCTGAAATAATTCAACGATTAGAATCATTATATATAATAATAAATTCTTTAGTTAAATGTCGTTTTTATAGTGGAAGTCTTTTAATTGTCTATGATGGTTCATTACAATCAAAACTTATTGATGTACGTATGATTGATTTTGCTCATACAATATGTGGTACAACAACAAATGATGATTCATCAAATAATAACCTTGACCCTGATAGAGGTTATTTACATGGACTTGAAAGTTTAATAGGAATTTTTCGTGAGATATTAAACAATGATGGAAAACATATAGTAGGAACTGAAACCAGAAAAGAATCATGATTGTACTGTTATTATTGTTTATTCTAATCTGTTATCGTCTATGTTTGTATCTAGGATGTTTCTAAAGTCTATCGGAAAACAAAAGAGCATGAATAACTTTGAACAATTCAAACGTTATACGTGAACTTTCTATAATTTAAAGCTTTTTTTTATACATCCATTGAACTGAAACACACAAGTTCAGTACTTTCAAATACAGCAAAACCTTCCATAGTGAACCCTTCACTTTTCGACGAAGGAATTTTTTGCTGGAAATGAACCTCTCTATAGTAGACATTTTCATATAGTTGTATGATAAATTATTTTGAAAAGTTCGAAGAATGTCCACTATAGAAAAGTTATTCTCTAGTTGAAAGAAGATATTGTATAGAATTTTCTGTGCAATCATTTTAGTTTCATTATTAGCTCTTATCGTAATTGTAATGTAAATCTGTGATAGACATCGTCTTTTATGCGTCGCTATAGGAAAAAATGTCGAATAGTGCCTAATGACATAACCATAAAACTCATCGTCTCTTTGAATCATTTATGATAGGAAAATTTTTTGCTCAGAGTTTTATATAATATATCGTTACAACCTGAATCATTTACTGAGCAATGATATATTTTGACTACCAACATGAATTCTAGCAATTTTGTTTTGTCTCATAAGTATAAGCTTTTTTAGAATGTATCCAGTCTACTGCAATACTAATGTAATACAAATATGGAGAGGATTCTTTAATACCATTTTGATTTAATGTCTCTTTGTCAAAGTCAACGAATAGAACGATTTATATTTTAGTGTTTAAAAATAGAATTATTTTATGTATAATATGATGAACAAAAAACTGGAATTAAATAATGAAAGATACATGTAAATTGATTAAACTGCTAAAGAGTTATTTAAGTTTTATTTTCCGATGGACTTTTAGAAGATTTTGTAGGTTAATTTCTTTATCTGATTAATGTATAGAAAACAAAAAAATAGTTAAGTTATTATGCTCTTCTTTTTTCATTGTCATTTTTTTCCCTCAAAATTGTAAACAGAAAACCTTGACAAAATATTTATTCTTTGTAAATATATATTTGTTTGAATTGACTTTTAAAATTTAATTATTTTGGAAAATTAACTAATTGAGTTAAAAATTTAAGATTTACCTAAAATCTTGTCAGTTGACTTGAAAATTCTAAAATGAATTAGATGGCATTTCAATATTATAGATAAGCTTAAAAAGAATTGATGGACTAAAAAAAGATCTATGTGAATAAATTTTTAAATGAAGACATCTAGAAATTTTCGAAGTAGTCTTCCAAAAAAAAACTTCATGTTTACAAAGTTGTAAACTTTTTTTTTTTGTCGTGTGTTTAAAAAAAATAATTTCTCGATTATATATCGATGAGTGTAACTGAGTTGAATTTATATTCAGGACTGACTCCAATGATAAAGTCAATAAGTGCACTTACAGTCTACAATGATAAGCAACTTATCAATGTTATTGACTTTTTTGGTCGAAGAGTGCGTAACAAACGGAAAAAATGATCCTCATTATAAATTTTCCCTTGTTTATCGCCTTTACTAATTTTATTGTTTATCATTGATAACGCATTTAGACGAGCGATGACACTATCAGATTATTGTTTGATAAAATTAAATACAAAAGTATTTAAGCTTGTTATCATGTTAATCTTAGAGGTTTTCTGATAGTCGCTGATAGATATACTTCGATGATTGAAATAATTAAGGTTTTTCTAGTACGATAGCGTCAATTTGCTTCTTTCAACATGTCGAAAAATTCTTAACTCAATTAGTTGCTTTTCTAAAGATAATCGAATTTTGAAGTTAACTTCAACATATATAAGAAAAAAATGATTTGATTTGTATATTTTGTGTTTGTCCTGTCTTTTTTTTTTTGTCTCAGGTATTAATACCATTTTTTTTTGTGAGCGTATTTTATGTAATATGAACTTGCTTTTTAATTTATATATATATCTATATTCAGATTTTGTTTGATCTCTTTTATTGTATTTTGTTTTCATTATTATAAACTAATAATCAAGAGTTTGATATTATGTATATGTATCTATGCATTTTTATGCTTAGTCATTGTCTTTTCAATGCTGTATTTGTTGTAACGTTTTTTTTCTTTTTCTTTTATTTTCTCATGATTTACTTTGTGAATAATGTCGATTTCGTTTAAATAAAAGCGTGTCTACTCTCAAAATGGTTGATTAAATTATGATAGATGAGAAACATCTAGTTCAAATAATTAAAATTCTTCATTTGTTATTTCTAAAAATAAATCCATGTTCTTCTTCTTTTTTATTCTAGTTCAGAGTTATCTATAATTATTTTCCTTTCTATGAACATAAGAAAAAACAGGACATATACATATTAATCTTTTGTACTTATTCATTACTTTCACAAATCGAAAAGACACTGTTTAATACTAATTTTCTCACCAAAAAAAAAAAAAAAGAGGAACTTGAAGCAAAAAAGAATGGAAAAGATAATAATATTTAAATAGATAATTCAGAAAGCATATGATATAAAAAAGAAAAATAACTATATCCAGTGAATAATTTACCCTTCTTGATAATTTAGTTCAATTATGTAATAATAATAATTAAAACTGCCTTTTTTTGGTTCGTGTCATGAGAGAAAGATTTTGATAATCGTCCTATTGGATTATAAGCATAGTTTAATAGATTAAAAATATTGAATATTTCAATCAAAATAGACTATATGAAATATTCATAATTTTCATAAAAATGTTCGCTAATAATTTATTTTGCTTTGTTCATTGAACAATACATTCATTCAATTGATCGCATATGAAAAATACAAGCATCATAGAAAATGTACACATGAACAATAATGATGGAAAAATCAATAAACTGAAAACTGAATTCTAACACGTCTCAAGAGTATTGTGTAAATATGAGACTTAATAAGAAATAAGACAAAAAAAAAAACATTTTGTTTCATGCATATCCATCACTGAACACGAGATAGATGATGTTTTTGTTTTCTGTTCTTATTCTTTTCTCATCTTTTTAAATTAGATAACAAGAATATTATTACCAACGTATCTGTTTATGTTGTGATATAAGATATGTCAGTCATCATATAACGATAATGTAAAAGTTAGAAAATATCAACGTGAAGACCTATACGGTCTATAGAAGTAGCGGAAAATTGAAGCGAGAAAAGATACGTCATGTAAATAAGAATAAAATTAGTAGTGGCGGGTCGAGTACGTCGAGGGAATTCGGAAGTGTTGTTTGCCCTACCCTAGTCTCTTTATTCTTTTCTTTTATGAGCGAACCATAGTTCTTGCATGCTCATCTTGAAAACGATTATGTATGTGCAAGAAAAAAGTGTATTGAGAGTGCATTAAATGCTTGCAGTTATTGATAATTGTTTGTTGTTCAATTTATTTGTTGATAAAATATATTTAGCTTCTTCTCGTGTTTGTGAACAAATAGGATTCGGTTGATCATCGTCAATACTTCCACCTATCTATTAATATATATATATATATATATATAAGAAAATAAAAATAAGAAAAAACAAGAAAGAAAATCTATTTAAATTACTTTTTTTATTTTAGTTTTTTGTTGTATTGATGGTGGAGTATTTTTATGATATTGTTTTCTACTTGATGTTCTTGATGTTAGTGATTGATTATGCCCGCTATCTTTATTAAAAACCATAGCTGATAAACGTCGACAATCATTAAATGTTCCTGTACGATTCGCTAAATAATGTCCCTGCATTAAACTACTATTTTGTCGACATCCAAATGTATGTAAAACATGAAATAATTGTGTACGAAATTCTGTTCCAGTTAAACAATAAACTAGTATATTACCTGTATGATTAGCATTCATTAAAATAATAAAAAGTAATTTAATCATTTTATATTTTGCTTTAAATTTCGTATCACATAAATTCATATTTGATGCTAATGTACGTTTTTCAAACATTAAATAAAAAACAATAGGCGCAGTTAATATAACAAACATTGCATTTATTGATAATAACATTGTACTTAAATTTCTTGCAACTAAACGTTTATTTGAATTATGTGCATCTCCCATTGTACGTAAAACGCTAAGAAAAATAATTGTTGAACAAAGAAACATAAGTGTAAATGGTAAATAAACATTAACAGTAGCATCAATATAAACCCATACATCACGATAAAGTTTTTGATATTCATCACTATATTCTGATGAACATTGTACTACATTTATATCCATATCTGTATCAACAATACGATAAATCGATGAAAATGATGATAATGGAACTATTAACTCTTGACTATGATTAGATAAATCAAAGTCATTTATTTGTTGTTTTTGTAAAGATGATATATATGTATTATCATAAAATAAAAATTGTATATTGAGCAAAAAAAGTATTAAAAAAATACATATTAATACAGAATATGTTTGACATGTTTTACGAGTTTTTCGAACACCACGTGTTAATGCAAATACACGATCAATTGAAACAGCCGTTAATATCCATGCACTTGTTTGAGGAAAAAAATAAATTGAAAATGAGTAAATTTTACATGCTATTAATGATACTTGTTGTAAATCTATATTAAACCAAGCATGAAGTATAAAATTAACACAAAATGTATATAAAACAGCAAGATCAATAATAGATAAAAAAGCCAAATAAATAAATGTTGAATGACGTCGTAATTTTGAACGTAGAACAACATATACAGATAATAAATTACCTGCCGTACCGACAAACATAAATAATATTGGATAAACACGTAATAAAGTTAATGTAATTGTACGATAAGGTTCTCGTGCATTAGATGAAACGGTTAAAGGATTATTACATCCGGTTGGTGTTGTATTCCACATGATTATAACTCTATAATGATACAAAAAAAGGAACAAATTTCGCCATTGTTTTTTTTTTATCCCAAATGATTTGTTACAGACGAACAATTTTTCAATCACTCAAATGTAGATCATTACGTTTCATTTTGTATGAGATAGATCGATTATATGTTTGTGTGTGAAGTTTTCTTTTCTTTTTTTTTTCTGTTATTTTTAACAGAAAACAATGAAGCGAGAAGAAAGAGAGAGAGAGAGAGAGGAAAGAGACTCGTATAGAATAAGAATAGATATGTATGCTTTGAAAAAAGGGAAAGAGAAAGAGATCTTCTCCGCCTTTCCTTCTCTCTTTTATTACTCTCCTTCTGTTTGGGTTTCTCTTCCGCTGAAAATATAGAATGAAGAGAAACAAAATGAAAAAGAAAACAAGAAAAAAAAGAAAAAGAAAGCTTAAAAAAGCCTACAATATACAAAGATGCTATCTAGTAAGGTGCTCTATTGATGAGAAATAAATGTCTAATTGCATTTATATAAAGTGTAGTAGAAAAGAAAACATCCGACGACAACAGTCTTATCAATTTACAATTGACGATCATCATCTTATATTTGCCACTGTCAGTCATATATTATTATACTCACAAAAAACTACTGAAACGTTAACAAAATATGTTCATTAAATGAACTATCTTACAAATAAAGACAATAGACGATTTTATTCTTTGTTGGTTTTGTTTTTATATAATATATAAAATGCCAATGTGTATTTGATAGTTAGCGAGTGTATTTAGTGCGACCAAAAACAGATGCTTTTTGTGTGTCATTGTACACACCAACAGTCAACTTTCTCTTACTCTTTTTCTTTCGTGTATTCGTCTTCACTTCTCCTTCTTTTCGCCTTTCAGATTCTTAATAGTTATGAAATATTCATCAGAATAATGGCATAAGCCTATTATAGAAATGCTATAGGTCGTCGACACTCGATGATGGCTCTACTATCATCTTGTTAGATGACGACCAAAAGACATTAAAAGAAAAAAACATCTATTCAATATATCTATATTGATCTACATGTATATATATATATGTATACACATATGCGTATTCCTTTATCTATCTACTGTTCTGCCTATCACTCATTTGATTTTGCTAAAGCGTTTTCTAGGTGATAAATACTGAGTTCCTATTAATGCATACTGTTTGTGTTGTTCTGATGAAACAGCAGTATTCCAGTTTCATTATCTTTTTTCTTTAACTCGTCAAGCAAACCATTACTAGTTTGTGGGCTGTGACTGTATGTCTTCATCATCGATGAATATCCATAAGAAATTTGAGCCAAATTAGTGATAAAAAAAAAGTATTATCGACTCAAAAGAGTCCAATGTTGTACACCCTTGGTGTTCCGTCAATCGGAATTGATTTTATGATAAGGAAAAGTCAAGTAAGACAGAATGACATTGGATATTTTCGAATTTAAATTCTTATATATTCGTTTTTTGTAGCTAAAATAAACAAAAAAGTTTAAGTTTATTATTTTTGTTATTGAGAAAACTTGCATTTATACTAATGATACAATATATTATAGAGATATATGTGCCGGATTTATTAGTATAGTTCGTCGTTATTTTATTTTGCTCATTTCATTTTAGATTTAAAATACAACAATGTATACGAATAATTTGCTGGTATTATTTGAAATTTGGATATTGGGAATTATAGTGTAGTTCGATAAAAAGTTATCAGAAGTTTGAATCAATTGTTTATTATTTTTTCTTTTTTTGTTTGAAAGAAGAGCAATGTTATTGCTAATAGTTAATCATTTATGTAATTTGTATTATATATGATACTGGTTTTAATTGCCCGTAAAAAAGAAAAGCCTTAGTAGTATCTGGAAAAGAATTTATTTGGTGCGTGTAAAAATATAAACGATGCATACTATTGGATAGACTTGTATAAACAAAATATTTACTCTTGACAAGAATTTTCACTTAATTAATATTCTTCTTGGAGAAATTGTTTTCTGCTAGCATTTGTCTTTGCGGTATTAAAATTTGATTCTAAAGAACAAGACAAATCGAGCTAGGCTCGTCAGATTTTATCTGCAAAAAAAGAACTTATGAATAAATAATAATATATGACATATGTTTATATCATAATAGCAGTATAAAATGTTGTATCAGATCGAGAGTCTTACGGTATAATTTGATGTTTGAAACTCCATTAGTCTCGGCACGTGATTCTTTAATATATGACGATCAAAATAAGTCTGATTGTCTTACAGGACTTTAATTAAATTTAAAAATTACTTTATGAAATCTTATTTGATCCAATAATAAAAAGTTAATTGAAAATCCATAAGAACATAAAATATTTGCTAATACATTTTAATAAGTTATAAGTCATGTTGATTATCTTTGTTTTTTTACATATGAAGAACAGTTATTTATTATAATAAGATATTCTTATTTAATCATATGATAAAAGTAAAATCATAGAAAGTACTTCGAGGTACTTTTTCAATTTCTACAAATCAACTGACATAATGACTGATAGATTAGTCTGGAAGAAAAAATCATTATATTATTAATGTCTAATATAAGAAATTTTGTTCCTAGGTCATTATATACTATGACATTTAATAAATAAAATTTGAAAATTTTTAAAGAAAGGTCATCGCTGTCATGCGTAAAAGATTGAAAATATTAAAAAAAAAGATAATATCTGTATGATATGTGTAAAAGTACCTTGAAAATATTCTTTTAAGCTAATGAATTTCTTTTCTATTTTTAGTAATATGTAATGGATACTTGTTATTATATTTGATATCATATGAGACATTAAGTTTCTATGTTTTCTATGAATTGTAAAGTTTAATTAACTTACTAGTTGAAAAAAAAATCAGTAAATTCTACAGATTTGCACAACAAAAGGTTAAGTTTAAAAGAATGAATTAAAGCTTTCATCAATAATTTAATTATTCAAAAAATAATTTTATAAATTTCTGAAAATTATTGAATTAAATATTAGATAAGAATAGATTTGTTTCATAGTTTGGATATGTTATAACAAATATTACAACACTTACTTGTTTTCACTATGAAGATAATACTTCTAAGAGATGAAAAATCAAATCAAATTTTGCCATAAATAAGTATATCATAGGAAAGTTAATATTTCTAATCAACATCAGATATAAAAAGATCAAGCACTTCAATTTCTTCATGTTCAATCAAAATAACATGTATTTTGTTCATATTTAAAATATATACGATTTCAACGAAGTTGAAAAAAAATCATGTCGATTTTTTTAATAAAAAACAACCTTATAGAGAATATGAACAATATATAACTACGATCTGACTATTGGTTTAAACATTACACATGCGATGTATAACACATAGAAACTAATAAAGTAATTAAACCTTAATGTAACACTACTATTAGGCTTCTAGCAAATTCATCAACATCTATTTATCTTTGATTTCTCTTTGCAGTAAAAGTATTTTATGAGAAAACGTATGTTAATGTATGTCTCTAAGGTGTGAGTACTGAGCAAAATCTCTTACATAGTACGTTAATCACTATAATGGATTTTTTTATCATGGTTTGCAGCGATTCATTGAATCACTTTTTTTTTCTTTACACGAAGCTTACTCAACTTATTTTATTTCAAATAGTACAGCATAGTTATAGAAAAAAAAAAGAAGCATGCGCTTTAATTATATGCATCAAAATTTCCATGTTATAAATACAACTTATGATGATGAAATACATCAGACAGCATATATTGCCAAAGATGTGTCATAAGTAGTTATGTATGCATGAATAAGATAAGATCAAAAATAACATAAATTCTAAATTTGGCATCTACTGATCTTATTAAAATTATTTCTGTGTCAAAGAATTATACCTGGATGGCAAACACATATTTTGATACTTATGTTCCTATTGAGACAAAGATATTTATCAACTATGTATAACTAGTAGATTATTATTTTGTTTAATTTATGCAACATAGTTTAATTTCTTTGGTTTCTAAGACATGAAGATGAAGTAAAATATCACATACTGATTCTGTTGAATGTGGCAATAATACGTGGTACAAAGGTTTCAAGACAATATGTGTTCTTTCATTTATCGATCTATAATAGGAGTCAATGGAAAATTTAAAGTACTGCGTTAGAATGAGGTTTTTTGTCTTATGTTTGAAATTTGTATAAGACTCGTAGGATAGGATTTATAAGCGGATCTTTGAAAGCCCTGTAGCAGTGAAATTTAATTACGTATACAGTAAAAGAAAGAGCAAACATTTTTGAATAAAATGACAACCTAACCATTAGTTTTCTGTGATGTTTCTATTAATAATATGATTTTTTAGTAAAAGATATATTGACGTTTTTGGAATTTCTTGACTTTGAAACTTACAAAATCAACTCGATCATTTCTGAATGATTGCTGCCAAACTTTCGGTTCTTAGCTCACTTTATAGAGAACTGTCTCGCTCTTTACACTACGCAAAAAAATATTAATAGCAGATATTCAGTATGGTAATGATGCACGTATATTGTCTAGATACTGATTCAAACAAATCCAGAACGTGATGTTGTCAAGCAAAAGAAAGTGACATTAAGTAAAATTGGATACCTTTGCGACAACAATAAGAAAACGCCGTTAAAAAGTACACAATCACATTTAAACGAATTATGATCATACTTTGCCATTTCTATATCTGTTAATTTAACTGCTTCAATGCACATTTTATTTTCAAGTCCATCAAAAATTCTTTCATAATTCTTAACCTATGAAATTACGAACAGGTATTCGAAAAGTGTACAAAATTCTTTTTGTAATCCAATGCTTTAAATTTTCTAGTGACTTACATAATCGCTTGACAAATTATAGAATCATTTTGTTCAGAAACTCTCGTATCACCCGTTAGTACGTATTATGAACTTATTTTATATTCAATAATTTATATTTTTTTTCAAGTTATACGATCGCCTTTTTATAACCTTGCTAACGAATAA